GTGATAATGTTCATTGCCACTTCAGCATAATTAGTAGTGTAAGTATGTTGAACAGTTGAATCATAAAACTGCAGTGTGGCAACAACGCAATAATAGAAGGACCTCGGTACTCAAATGCATCACACTTTTTGGGGAGTTGATTGAACGTGTAGCGTGCAACTGCTTTACTGTAAAATATAACAGCTCTTTGTCATTGCCAGTGCGTAATGAAAATGGCAGTGCTGTAGATGAGTCCATCCCAAATCACTTCATATGTCCCGTCACACATCCTTTCACGAGACTAATCACAAGTAACAGGGCGAACAGTGACAAAGGATAGCTTTTGTCACAGTTCATTTGAATTGCTTTAGACATAGATAAGATTGGACGACTCGCGATGGACTTACAGGGACTTGTGATGGAGTAGACTACTACAGTGGAGATGCCTCTCTGGTCCAACTGAGAAGCATGTATAGATGGATGGAATCTGTAGATACTTGATTACAACACTTGAAACGTTTTGTTGTGTTAAGAGAGCAGTAGTTATCCCAGGAGAGTAGAGGTGGATGAGTGGACTATAACCAATTGATCTTTTTGCATTGCAGTCCTTCCCCAGTCAGGCCTGCTACAGTCATCTGTCATCTCAGCCTACACCATGTATCTGACCTGGTCCTCCCTCAGCAGTAATCCCAACGAAAGTAAGTTGTCACTCTTTCTGTAAGTGTAGACTCTGGCTCAAGCGATATACTCTTGACTGGTTAATGCTGCGCTACGTATCGGCACTTTTTCCAAACTTCAGCTTCACTTCTATCGTAAGCCTCATGTGGAGATGCATAGTCGGTTTAGAACACTTACTATGGGAACCAGATGAAAAAAACGTATTCCAAACTTCTTCCAGTCTTTGCACAGAGGACTTAAGTCATATAACTGAAGCCTATCCTGTGGCCTGCACGATGTCCGCCTACAGCCATGCTAGTAGGCCCAGTGGGAACGTTCACTGTTACCATGGCTGTCTGTTTTGATCAGCTCCTATTCTCAATTCAGAGCCGAGTAATGATCAACATTGATAATGTGCAAAATTATAGATAGACCCTAACATGCACGTAGTTGTTCGTGCAAGTTAGACTTTATTTTGTGCTTATANATGATAATGTTCATTGCCACTTCAGCATAATTAGTAGTGTAAGTATGTTGAACAGTTGAATCATAAAACTGCAGTGTGGCAACAACGCAATAATAGAAGGACCTCGCTACTCAAATGCATCACACTTTTTGGGGAGTTGATTAAACGTGTAGCGTGCAACTGCTTAACTGTAAAATATAACAGCTCTTTGTCATTGCCAGTGCGTAATGAAAATGGCCGTGCTGTAGATGAGTCCATCCCAAATCACTTCATATGTCCCGTCACACATCCTTTCACGAGACTAATCACAAGTAACAGGGCGAACAGTGACAAAGTATAGCTTTTGTCACAGTTCATTTGAATTGCTTTAGACATAGATAAGATTGGACGACTCGCGATGGACTTACAGGGACTTGTGATGGAGTAGACTACTACAGTGGAGACGCCTCTCTGGTCCAACTGAGAAGCATGTATAGATGGATGGAATCTGTATATACTTGATTACAACACTTGAAACGTTTTGTTGTGTTAAGAGAGCAGTAGTTATCCCAGGAGAGTAGAGGTGGATGAGTGGACTATAACCAATTGATCTTATTGCATTGCAGTCCTTCCCCAGTCAGGCCTGCTACAGTCATCTGTCATCTCAGCCTACACCATGTATCTGACCTGGTCCTCCCTCAGCAGTAATCCCAACGAAAGTAAGTTGTCACTCTTTCTGTAAGGGTAAACTCTGGCTCAAGCGATATACTCTTGACTGGTTAATGCTGCGTTACGTTTCGACACTTTTTCCAAACTTCAGCTTCACTTCTATCGTAAGCCTCATGTGGAGATGCAGTCAGTTTGGAACACTTAATGTGGGAACCAGATGAAACAAACGTATTCCAAACTTCTTCCAGTCTTTGCACATAGGACTTAAGTCATATAACTGAAGCCTATCCTGTGGCCTGCACGATGTCCGCCTACAGCCATGCTAGTAGGCCCAGTGGGAACGTTCACTGTTACCATGGCTGTCTGTTTTGATCAGCTCCTATTCTCAATTCAGAGCCGAGTAATGATCAACATTGATAATGTGCAAAATTATAGATAGACCCTAACATGCACGTAGTTGTTCGTGCAAGTTAGACTTTATTTTGTGCTTATACAGTATATCCCACAAAGTGGCACCTGTGCTCTTACCTGTAATGTAGTCCAACTTAACATGCTTTATGCTTTTTGAGTTATAATTGAATATTGTACGTTTGTTAACAATACCCAGACTGTGAACGTTGTCTTGTTTAGTAAATGTGAGAAATTTTTTTAAAGTTTCTGTGGAAAAGGCCCCGTCCCCCAAGAGGAATCTCATTAACATAGAGAATTTGCATATCTGTGACGTACGTTTGAGAAGACATTGTCATGCTGCTAGTGCATCAGTGCTTGTCCAGTGTAAGTTGTTGGGTCGAGTTCAAAAAAGTAAATCCAGTTTTGGGGTGTTTTAGAGATCATGCATAACAGATGTGTTGCAACACCTATAAAGATGGAACAAGCCTGCATAACTTTCCAACCAATTTAGATGACATTGGACATCGAAAGTCAAGCTGACCAGGGCCAAATGGTCTGGACTGACAGTGAGCTCCAAACTACAGTGTGAATTTCTAGCCGCGGTGTTTTCTTCAGAACATGTATGCCATGTTTGTGATTAAATTTAAACAGTTGCTGAAGTCAGACAACGCCAGGTCTATGGACACTTGAACCACTTCATGTTGGAGGATGTGGGTAGGCATTCACCATGTTAAGGGGACAAGTTCTTTTGTTTGGGAAATTTGAACCGAGTTGTGGGGACATTTCTGAGTCCCCACAACGTTTTCGGTCCCCACAAAATAGGTGAAATGGCGAATGTATGTCCCCACAACTACGGTGCGGGAGTACATGAACACACGAAAGGGCTGTGGTAAACATGAACTGCCTCTCTGTACACACACTCATTGTTGAGAGGTTCAAATGCTAAGCACGATCCTGACTTACCTTCGGTTGGCATTTGAGCATGCTAATTGCCCATTTGATTGAAACTCTCACACAAATTCTGTGGAGGCACTTTTTACACTTGACCTTGGCCACTTTCCATGGCTTGTCGTGGTAGCCAATGTCACTAAGTATTGAAAACTACAAGGTTGTGGTAAGAAATACGTTCAGATATTAGAAGTTCTTCTTTCTTTGTCGAAATCATTGGCCGAAAGTGATATCTAGGTAAGTGGTTAAGGCAAGTCTCGTAGCCTTCAGAAATTTGCAATTTAGGGCCCAATAAGAGCCCAGCTTTATAACAAGTTCAGTAGCAATCATGTGACACAGACATTGTAGACACATTGTCCCAGATAAAGAGAATCGTCGTCCTATAAACGTAACTTCATCGCTTTCCTTGTTCACTCCTGCATTTCCTAGAGTGCAACCCAAGTATCAGTGAGATCACTGGCGGTGGATCACCCACAGCGACTCCTTCAAGTTCTCAGTCTCAACCAGGCCTAGGAGCTGAAGACTGGGTCACTCTGATCGTGTTTCTGGTCTGCATCATCTACGCCTGGTATGTAACATTCACTTGGTTTACCCTTCTTGTGACATTTCTGGCTCCTCTAAACACACGGATGCCCAGTTTTGTTGTAAACTGGTGGAAATAAAATAATGGTACTTCATGCCCAATTTCTCTGCCCAAAATTGTTTTTTGACTAATTGTCTTTATGCAGCCTTTATTGTTAACTTGCATTGTTTAAATGGAAAGTGTACATTCATTCATGAAAATTCTCGTGAAGAATATAGTGTGCTGATACTTGATGATTTACTATTCCATTTTTGCATTAACCCTCAACGCTATTCTTATTAGTCCACCTGTAGGACCTTCTAAAGTTCTTCATAATCAGTACACATGAGATTTTGATACTTGCTTCATCAACTATCAAAGATTGTCAAGCTTCTCATACAGTAGGAGACGTTGGGCTCAACCTTCCTAACTCTTACAAAATCTTCCAAAGCCACATGGTCCAATGTCATAGTGCAGCTTGACAATTAACTAATAAATGTATCTCCACTTTGCCAAACCTTGGATTGATTCATTCCAAAGAATGATTTTCTGCTTCCATTGTACACTGAGTTTATTAGAGTTAGAAAGTCTCTCTGATCAAAGTCTGACTTTTTTTCTTTTTGGTTGGTTTTTATCATTTCCCCGTCTCCCACTTCTTTCATGACATTGCCTGATTTCTACGTGGAATGTCATTTTTCTTCCAGCATTCGTTCTGCCAGCAACAACAATGTCAGCAAGCTGACTGGTGGTGATGTAAGATGTTCTTCTCTTTCTTGAAATAAACTTCTGTCACTGTACGTGAAATAAAAATACACCAAGACACAACAAACACCATAGCACACCGTGTTCATACCAAGTAGAACTCGGGTTTTCAACTGGAAGACCGTGTAGGGGATTTACTCATGTACATGTCCGCTGATCTAGGCTATTCAGTGACACACACTGTTTCATTAGAGGATAGATGAGATCTATCACCTGCCAGACCCTGCAAGGTGCTACAGTTTTTGGCTGTAACCAAAAGTCTTCACAACCACCAGCAGAAATACTTGCCCATAAAGTTGATTACAACCACTTGCAAGCCATTGGCTTGTGATGCATTTGTTGTTAACATCACTAGCCCAGACCTAGCTGACATAGCCTTAGCGCCAAGGAGGTAGCCTGTGTTCACAGTGTGAGCATTTGATATCTGCAGACCGATTCCATTCAGAGTATTTGCCAATCAGATTGTGCATCCGGTGGTGAGCTCACCATGGATTCTATGGGTACCTCCAACTGAATTGCAAAAAATATCACCAGTTAACAAGGTGTGAAATATCGCAGCAAATCTTCATGCACACTTTAGAATGAAATTCAAGCGTGGCAGTTCTCTATATAATCCCTCTCCCTCGTCTTACGAAATACTCCAGCTTGGCCTTCAAAATTCCAAAAATTGCTCCATCCTTGAATATTTTATCAGCTTGGACCCACAACACATGCCACAGAGCTCCAACCATCCAAGTCCTGGACAGTTGTCAAAATGTGTGCAAAATGTAGATGTCAAAAGACCCTGCAAAAAAAAAATTAACTGAGGATTTAATTGAAAACAAAAGTGACAGTATTTCAGGGGTTCTTGGTCGATGGGGGAGTAATATTATGGTGTTGTTTTAATATTGTGGTGTTACTTCACAAACAACACGTTAGAACTAAAGTAATGAGAAGTAGAAAAACTTGAGCCTAATTTCAAATTTAGGTCTTAGAAAGAAAATGCAGATTTTTACAGTTTAGTTTTGCATTCACCTAACATTACCCTGGGCAGTGTGTAAGGGGAAACTTAGTAGGTATGCCTTGGAAGTTAGTGTTGGTGGCCCACTGACTGTCACGTGTTGAGTACTTGCCTCAAAATTTAGTCTGTGGTTAATGTGTAGAAGTTGGACCATGTGATAGCTACTTAACATCCTAAATTTTCTACATAATTGTGAAGAGTAAGTCAAGTGCTACATGATACACAACACAAGATAGACATGTACATTGACCTGTGTTGCCATGAATATTTATGAGTTGGAGTAAATGTTGCCCATCCCATGCATCATTTCAGAGGATAGCACACTATGGCACAGACAACAGTATACAATACAGAGACATGGACAGAGAGGTAAAACAGAATCCTTGAAAAAAGACCCAGGGTTGAAGCACCTCATTGTCAATGGTTCCTGTGATCATGAAATCACTGACATCTCGAAATGGCCCCCATCTGTATATGGACATGCAGCATGTTCAGGCCTCCATTATTTTTGTGAAGTGGTCAGTGTAGCGGTTGTACATGTAGTTCATTTTCCACTGCACAAGGTACATGTGCATACGTACATGTATGTACATGTATACATGTTCCAGTGTGCATCATTGGCTTCATGCGGTTTGGTTCTGAAAGTTGGAACTTGGTGAAGTCACACTGACTGTGTTTCCCCACTGGTAATAAATTTTATCCACTGCTAAACCTCTTCATCCAATTGGGTGAGTCTGCATACAAGACTGTACATGTTCCTAGAATGGAACCAGACCTTTGATTATAAACAGGATACAACTTCAAAAAAGCTGTTTGTCCCTCAGTACAGCCTGCATGCCGATTCACAACAAAACAGTATTTAAGTCACATTAAGAATTAAAAAACACCTGTGCCCCCAAAACACTGCTAAGATGATTTGCCTCTGTGTGCTTTATGTAAAGCTCTGTGCTCACACACATACACATACAGTACTTTCTGATATTGAAGCATTCCCATGACAAACATTTGTGAGTACCGTACATGACTTACAGTGTAGATGTACATACAGTGCTGCACTTTGGGTTCAAAACGGTTTTTGACATTCTGTCATTGACTTGTTGCATTGGTTTGCGACGATGAAAACATCTCAGGCACATCTCTGCTATTACGTTCTGTGTTGAAGAGACACATACACATGAAATTAGAGCTTGAAGTGAATTGTGATAATCACGTACATACATGTATGTGTACATGTGTAAGAAAGTTGAAAGAACTCTGAGTGCGTTTTCAGTTTGGTAGAAATGTAAAATTCAGGACTTTGAGTTTGCTAGAGCACTGTGGCTGGTTGTGGTGCATATACAGATAACATCAGAACCGAACCAGATACATCAGTCTAAACAAATATGCTCCGTCAACACTTAGCATCACATACATGGAAGTCTACACGCTGTCTAGCCCAGTGAGACTGATATTATAATGTCCAAGATGTTTGGCTATCGCTGCCCTTCTGATCACGAAGGCTGTCCAACATCCTTTCAAGTCTCAGCATTTGAAGTGCGCAAAACAACTTCAAAAACAGTCCTCATGGGTTACATGAGGGAAATAGGTCATTACTAACCTTAGAATACATTAAAGCTCATTTAACGTGTAATTTCTGAGAACACTGTAATGAACATATTAAAGAGGATGGGCCGTGCTGGGAAGGTTTCTTGTAAAACGTGCATGAACACATAAAACGAACATAACAAGAAAACACATCTGTATAATCTCAAAATGCGCGGAAATATGTTAAAATTTATAGTTTTCATGATCCTATTTCACTCCCTTCTGGGAGCACAAGTTTAACAACAGCCGTCGGGTACGGAAACTTGTCTGAAGATATTCCCAAGAACCATGACGTCATAGGATGGAGTCCTTTATCCGGCGACTGTTTACTGTTACGCAACATGTACGTAATGTAGAAGCGTGTGCAATCATGTCAGACTCGAGCGACGATAATTCCCGTGTTGATGCTTTTACCGATCACAGCAATCAGTTGTCATATTCGTCTTATTCATTTGACAAAAAAAGCGACATTGAAGGAGCTGATGAGGCACAAAAAATATTGCCTTGTCGGTTCGAACCCAGAGGATCGACAACCAAACACTGGTCATGATTTTATTTTTTCCTGTATCATTATAAAACTTTGTCTTTCTGAAAAGACATAATTGTCCTACCCTATAGCTATTTGATAGCTGTGTAGTAGAAGTTTTTGGCCATGATTATAGGCTAGCCTACTTTCTCAAAGTTGGTGTTCCATTCTGACAATTTTTTTCACCGTGCACTGCAAGTCACTTTCTTGGCATCAACGCGTCGCGTGCATGACGACTGTGCGGCATTCATTGCACGGAAAATAGTTTATGTGCACCAGTGCAATAGAGTCCCATTTTACATCGTTTACACGTAGTGCACATGTACGTGTCAGTACTAGTACGTGTACATACATGCAAACATTCGCATGTATTTGGGAATTTTGATTTATCTTAAAAATCTGATTGTGTGTTGTCCACAAATCTAACCTACAATCACTGGTGTGAAAAGTCGCTTGGGAATCTACATAAACTGCTCTCCGGGGAATTGTTTTGATTGCGACAACAGCCACCAACAACACAATTTATCGGCATTCTTTCAAAATTCACAATCCGCTATAGAAATTACACGTATACAACTCGATGCAAAACAAAATGAATGTGACTCGTCAAGGTAGTTGTCCAATAGCTCTGCCCCGTGTTAAGAGAAGAGCATAGGGAAATGACCAAATGTGGTTGACTTGACCCGTACGAGTTACGTACCCGATTACACGCCAGAGCAGAGAATATTCTTCTTACCTGGACCGATTAACTGTCTTGCTGGAACTATGCGTTCTTGTCCGGAAAGTTGAGTCCGTCCAATGACGTCACATTTCGGACAAGATTTGTCTTCTGCCCTCATCGACCAATTTCAATAAGTTTTTGGGTAGAGCTCAGGCAGAGACGGAAAAAAGCACACAGAAAAATGCAAATTTTTGCTTATTTAATGACATAAAGTGGGGTTTATCCAACGTATTGTATATAAGATGGTTAAAACTATCATATAACCTCAACTTAACCCTACATCGCCCATCCCGGTAAAGATACAGTATCTTAGTTATGTGAAGCAAGAAGAAAGCTTGAAGATAAACATGTTGTTGAGACTGAATAAATTCCTCTTAAGAACTTTTTGTGAGTGAAAAGGTGGAAAACCTGTTAGTGTTTAATAAGAAAAAAACATGCAACCTCTTCCAGTTTGTGCATTGCTGCTTAGTGGATCTGTCAGCATTTCTAGTTCCCTGTTTGATTTGGGCCCAATCTCTTCAACTTCATTTACATTAAAATGCTGAGTCAGGTGGTACAATGTTAAGATGCGGTATTATGGCTGGTGGTTTGGCTAAAGAGAATTCCATGCTAAGCTGTTTTTGTGTGTGTGACATAGCATTTGACTGGTACATGTACCTGTATGATGTCTATTAGCCCATTTAGCCAGATTGATTGTGTAGAATCCACCATCTTGCACTATCCGGTTCGTAAGTGACTTCGTCACAAAGGCGGAAATGCCACGATTTGCAGGTTCTCATTGGACAATCACTGAAGTTGCACGTTAACTTCCGGTTCCATGGTTCATGTAAATGGCGATCAATGCATGTAACCCTATTTGCAGTGCACATGAGCAGTGGGCATGGTTTAAACTGAAGTAACGTCACACTTACAAACCGGATACCGGATGAGCATTGTACTTTTTACAGCTGGAAGATTGTTGCCCGTGAGCATTTACAAGACCTTGAAAAGTTCCATGAACATACATATACTCCAAATTCATGCTATTTTCATTGCTGTTTCACATCACATCATAAGTTCTGTTTTTAGAAGACTTCAGAAAAGCATCAGACATTTTCACAAGGATAGGAAAATTCATTTCTATAAATTGATGTGACGTTAACTCTAAGGACTAGGCTATTGAGGTAACCTACATGGTGATTCATGTGGTGCTTAGAAAAAACAGTTTACTTCTTTACTGACACTTGGTACTCACATTTTGACCTGAAATATAGCAGATTGGATCATAGGTTTTCAGACGAGTCTTTTTAGTTTTGGGGTGTGGTTCCCTGTATTATTGGGAAGTGTGTGCCTCAATTGTCCCTTTGTTTTTTATCATAGGGAGTGGCTTACTATGGGGTTACTGAGGTAAGCAAGCAAGACAGAATTGGAACATGCTTGTACCCATCAGACAAACAGTAGGAAGTTATTTACAGAATCAGCTTTTGGGGTGTGGTTATTGTTGTGGTACTGGGGATTTTGATCTCACGAATGGTGTAATATGCATTTGTTTTCCAAAACGTTTGTTGAAAATTCCATTATTACATACATATACATGCATTGCTGCACCATACTGGTTCATTAACATAGTTTGATCCCCTCCTGCACAGCTCCCATTTTACATACTGTGGTAGCACAAAGCCGTTTCAACAAGTGAGATGTTGGTCGATGGACAACATTGCTTTCATGTTCATCTGAACATACCTTGCGAGTTGTGGAAGGTTATACATGTAGTTGTCTTGTTTGTGCCACCACACACCAACCTGTGTAGTCTCCATTTCAACCATTAAATGATGCCCCCATGTTTTGGTTTACTGCATCCCGTGTCCCCATAAAGAGTCGCTGTGTCAGGTACATGCAGCAGCAGTCAGCAAACTGGATCAGAATTTTGATTAACTTTTTTTACTGTTTAAGTTTGGGTCTAATTTGATCTCTGTTAATTAGACAAAAGAAGCTCACTGAGCACAGAAGAGCTAAATATTTCTGCTGGTCTTTATTTTCTTTTTAGAAAAAAATGGTGTTCTATGCAACCTTACCAGATTATTTTAAGACAAATTGTATTATTGAATATAGAATATTATTAAATTATTTTATCGGAAAAATTGATAAAGGTAAAGTAAACATTATGTTCTTTTCTTTCCCAAACAGAAAGTGCTCATCAGTGATTGTAAGTATTTCTCTCATTTTTTGTGTTAACCAGGTTCTAATTTTACCCATTTCCACTACAGCAGTTTCCTTTTGCAACAAGTAGTTCAGACCAGTTATTATTTCATTAAGTCATTTATTCCACATTTTACTTTTTCATACCTTGGCATGCAGATTAGTAAAACCTCTATGGGAGAGAGTATTCCCCTTGGCATGGCGAAAGAAAACAGTATACCAGTGTGGCTTCCGATTTTCATAAGCTGGCATTTCATGTGGCCAATTGTTTTTTGTGGTCCATGTATCTTTAAGCCAGATCAAGAGGCCTCTTCCATGAGCTAGTGAACAATTTCATTGGTACAGCACTGATTAAACAATAACACTTTTCCTCTGCATGGTCAGCTCCAACCTCCTCCGAGAACACCAACGCTGGCGATGCAGAGAAGGGTGGGCGCAACGTCTGGGACAATGAGGAGGAGGGCGTGACTTATAGCTACAGCTTCTTCCACTTCATGCTGTTCCTGGCCTCGCTCTACATAATGATGTCGCTTACCAACTGGCTCAAGTAAGTACTGATCCAGATAATTAGTTGTTGCCCTCGGGGCATGCTCACTGACCAGAGTTACCAAGTGTATCAATACCTCCACCACTGTTGAAGGCAAAAACCGCAGCGCCACACTCAGTCCATTAGGGTATAGAAAAGCCTGCAGTGCTCTGATAAATTGCAGGATGTATTAAGAAACAGGAAAAGGTGCTCAATTTGTGTTATTTGCAGTGTAAATACATTACATGCACTTGCCCTGACGCGAAAGTGTTCAGATTTGAATTTGTGTCCCTGGTGAGTAGGAACTGGCCCTTACAGGGGCAGTTGGGGGGAGGCCTAAAACTCTGGACATCTTTTGTACATTTCGTACTCTTGATTAGTGACTTTAAAAGCGGCAGTGAGTGGTTTCACAGCAAACATCTTTGGGAGGTAGCAAGTAGTAAATTCAGATTCAGAACGTCCATTACGTAAGTCTTGGGTTGCAACCCTGCCTGGGTAAAACTGGAAAGCCTTTCCCAATTTGAGCCAGTCTGTGTTCCACCATATAACCACACTGATCGGTCACACTGTGTCCAAATCAGCGGTTGGTGATGTTATTCATAATTAATCATTGAATCTGAATACCATTATAAAGTTCTTCGGTGTGCCGCTCAGTTCAAATCGCATCAGTTTCTTCCCACCGTAGTAACTAGCCTTTCAAGGTTTCTGTTCAGTGCAAGTGGACTCTCAAGATTTTGTTTTCATTGTCTACCCGTTACTCCCAATGCAGACCCAGCACATCAACGGTCGACGGTCTGACATCCAGTGTGGGTGCCATGTGGGTCAAGATCTCCTCCAGCTGGATCTGCATCATCCTCTACCTCTGGACGATGGTGGCGCCCCTTATCCTCAAGAACCGAGAGTTCAACTAGAGGGAGCCCTGCAGTCCAGGCAAGCCCCTGAAAAAAATACAACAAAATAAACAGTGAAAACTTGTGCATTTGGGCGCTGCAAGATTGGGGGGGCAAGGGGAATAGTGCATTTTCCACACCTCGGGTGGGGGGGATGGGAAAGTTGAAAGTGAAAAGAGAAGGAGAGAAAAAGGGGAAGAAGAGAATGGAAAGGCAATAAAAAATGTCAATTTCCATGAAAACACTTTGGAAATTGGCTGTTGATAGGGTGTCAGTCAGTGTCAGCTGAGAGCCCCACCCCAAAAGAGCTTATGCACATGTAATATATGCCCCATTCTGGCAGTGCCCATACTTGTGTAAATCGTAGAAATCAATTGACACACAGATATACATCCATTTTAGGACTCCACTGTCTTTGTAAAAACTGTCATCGCCTTAAACCCTCCCATGTGCTTTGGAATCGAACAGAAGGTGAATATAGGTCTAAGGAATGGATAGTGTGGATGCTGTTACTTGACAGACCTGGAAGGTGAGAGCTGGAAGAATTTTCTCAGTTTCCTGGTGGATTTTGCAGGATTCTGAAACAGCTCTCAGCAAAATGGCAAAAGCAGTCAGGGTGAAGTGAAAAAACACTGATATGTATCTTTTCTCAGCGTACAAAGCCTGGTGAATTTCCAATATTAGGCAATTTTTGGATTATCTTTTCAAGCAGGATACACCACGCAAGCCAACACTCAGAAATTGGTCGGTCAAAAGTTCAAGCAAGACGTCAACCTACCACGTGTTGACAAAACAGAAGCTTGAAAATGCTAGTATTCAATAGCTGCCATTGGAAACTCAATTAATTCATGGTGGTCTTTTGAAGGTTAAAATAGGACAGGTAAAACATAGTGGACATTTTCAACGTGTTGACAGTCAGTATGATGGAATGCTTTCAGTGTTTGGCGATATTTACCTTTTTTCCATGTAAGGAATTCAGTTTTGGAGGAGTCCACAAACTATTTCATGTTGATAGCCTCTTGCATGTATTAAACATTCATATAATACATTGTTGCCAAAAGACACACAAACGTGTACACATTTGAACTAAGAATATTTTGCTTGCTTCTTGTTCACTTGGTAACATTGTTGTCAGCAACCACATGTGGAATTTGGCAAAATTGAATGCTGTCAGTTCAAAAACCTGCGCCTTTATAATTGTATGATATGCCAAATGCATCAGTGTACATGTAGTTTAGATATTCATGGGGTATTTGCCAGTGGAAATTGTTTAGTATTTGTTTCATATGTAGGAGTTTATTAAGATTTACGTGCAAGTTTTTTGGTGTAATTTTGCAAAATAGTCACCCCACACCAGATCAGAATATTAAGTTTTTGCTCAGGTTAACATTGAGATCATTTGTGTAGAGGAGGGAGTTGATTCCAGTGTCATTCTTGCTAATTATGCACACTCAGAATGTGTTAGACGTGTATTGGGATGTGGGGAGACATTGGACTTAGTTCATGCTCATTACTGTTTAAGCAAGACTGCATTTCAACTTAGCAATTGGCCAAGTTCTGTTCATTCAGCACGAAGCTTAAGTACATTGTGCAGTTAAATGTGGACAGATAACGTGTATTGAAAGATTCACTTACCATACACAGACAGTGCTGCGTTTCGTCCAGGCTGATGGGTCTGATCATCATCTCTCGCCTTCTTTAAAGACCGACTCCAACGTTATTAAAAGTTTTGAAAATAAACTACCGGTATTATTGTGTTTAGTGCGTAATAAATCATACATGCATTACCAAATCATATCTGTCTTGCATCTGTAATTTCGCCCAAACTTTTCAAAGGTGTCTTTCAGTTTTATGAAAATTTCCACAATCTTATCGGTGGCGGTGCTGTTGAGAAACAAGATTTGTATGATGTAATACCAGAGAAAACATTGAAACTGGTATACACGTACATGGCACGTTCCGCTGCAAATGTTCATGAACATGGAGCTACACGTGCATGCGCCGTGTACCGGGGATTGATCTGTATGCCGGGTCTACTGTGCTGCTTTATCTCTTTTCCATTTAGAGTTTGTGCTCCCGTCTTCATGATTCACAAAAATTCCAAAATCGTGCATCGTAGATGTACTAGTAATTCTGCGAAAGAACCAGGATTGAAATTCTTCAAGTTTCCAAAGAATGAGAGCATTCTTTAAGTTCGTACTGTCATCTGCAGCTTTGCATGCTATGCATGCCTATAGCGCATGCACTGTAGTATTTCCTCTTCATGGTAATACATCACAGAAATCAATATCCATTTAATGCAAATGAATCGTGACAACATGTCCATTTTTACAATACCGGACTGGACTCGCAGGAAAAATGGGTACAAAAACTGTGTTTTATTAACACAAACGTGTTCTGAATAAGATTCAGTATGAGAAAAGTTAGCATCATTGGAGTTGGTCTTTAAGCAAGTAAGTCTGCTGGTAAACGAGACTAAACTAATGAACATCATGCCATATTCATATCAACTGCACCATCTAACCAATCATGACAGTCTGCTGAGTTGATATCAAGTCTAACATCAACAGTGTGTATATTGTAATAGTGTCAGTATGTCCCTCTTCACTTAGCTGTATATGTGTCAGAATGCATACTTGCACATAAATTATTTCCTTGTGATAAATGAGGAAGAGACACAGAAGGCTAGATCAGAGTGTGAACAGAAATTACAAAGGATAAATCCAGAATTTTGAACCTTGACTAATGAATGGATACTGATTTCCAACTCAATTCGCATGTAACTGAAGAGCCTCCTTGTATGTTTTACACATCATATATTATTGAAGAAATTCTTAAGTCGTGTTTAACCATATGAAGTACACGTCACGAGCAATCAGAAAATTAGTTACAAACACTAATTGGAAATGGTAGGTTGATCTTAGTTCTTTTGAAAGACCATTGACAAATTTTGTTCCTTGAAGAAGAATATGATGTTATCATAAAGAATGTAGGAACAATTACTATTGCCTTTTGTAACTAAACTACAAGTAACTCCTTATGACTGTGGTTATTAGATTCAAAGGTAATGCAATTTTTCTCCTGTTTAGTGATTATTTACAATATGTAGAAAAACACAGTTGTCTCAAAATGTACATAACATGCAGAATTTTCGCTTGAAATGTTTCTTTTTTAATTAATGTAAAAGATAGCCCTGGATGTTTATATAAAACTATGGAAGTGAAGTTTCCTCATTTACTATTAAATTATTTAGAACTGAAAAAATTAGAACAGTTTCACTCGGCTTTGGTAAGCTCTACAAAGTTTAGAGGATTTGCTGATTAATATAGCTAATGAAAATTAATCGTAATCTGAATCTGATATATCATCAAAGAGGTCTCAGTAACGTCATTGGAAAGTGGAAACAGTAAAAATTGTATTTTTAACATGGTCCTTGTTTTTGTACTGTGGCCCAGTGTACACTGTGAATTATATAGTGTGTATTACAAAGGAGCTCCCTTTAAGACTGGAAGTGTTTATTTTTATTGTAGTAATTTTTTCCCCTTTTTTGCATGGTGGAAGATTTAATGATTGTATTTTGTGTATAATAAATGCGGATTAATTCCTAGCACTTCAAAGTATCAGTTTTGTTTATGCCTGCCTTTGTTAATCTGTCATCGTTCCACACATTGTAAGCAAGTTATCAGATAAATCATTAGGGGACGTCCTGGTTCGTCTTAATCTGAAACCCTCTGAGATCGAATTACCGACCAATGATTAAACTAAAAGTTGTTTAGCATGAACACAGTGAACACAGAGAAATATCCATGATCGATGATTATGGGAGAGATAACGGCGGTTATTAGGTTTGATTCCCGACCTAAGGGCAGATAAGCGCGTTTGTGGTGTTTCTTCATCTTCATTCGGCACTTTACGTCGAATGGCTTGAAGCATTACGTGTAACTCTGTGCTGTCACACACCGATGAGATAAGATGTCGTTTTTAATTTTATTAGTGCAGTGAGAACTGACAAGGATTTCTTTTCCTAAATCATGTGCACATGTAAACATGTAAACATGTGCACTAAAAATGTGAGCAAAAATGGGAAAAACCTTAATTTGCCTCACTGGTACTGGCATCAGTGATGTATGCAGCTTTAATTGTGCACAGGCATTATGCCACCCTTCTTTGCGGGAGGGGGAGGGATCGGAGCGGTTGATCTTTTACGGACGGTGGTTGGGGGGGATATACCCACTCAAGATTTTCCTAGTTCGTGTGTACCCATGGTGCCCACGAACTAGGCCGCGTCGTTGGCTATATTGTTTTAAGTGTGTTGGTAAGACATATGGAAATTAGTCAAATAAAAAGCAAACAAAAATTCCTCAGTCTTTTTGCGCATCAAAATAGCAACCTTAATGTCGGCCCGGACAGTTATATTATAATCCCTGGTCTGTCATTCAAAGAAAACGTAGCACAACTTGACGAGACACTGATCCGGTCCAGCTCTATTATTATTTGCAGTAACTAAGGAACGGCCTCGCTGTTAGAATAAGTTTACTCTACCCACTAGGAATGGTGTAAACATTATTGCAGATGCTGCGTCTGTTAGCGAAATTCAGGCAATACATGCAGTCACTTATCCGTTGTGGAGATTTAAGCTGTACGCAGGGTTTTTCTTTTCTCCGACACTGTTGAATGTGTGACAAGTAACCGTTAAAGGCTAAAACGAACTATCAAAAATTGTTCTTGAAACATAGCCGTATGAGTAGGTGTGAGAGCTGTTACTGGCACAGCCAAAATTTACATGATAATAAGTTTTCGCTGGTACGTACGGTGTACTGTGTGACCACTAAGCACTGTTAACGCGACTGAACTTTTGATCGGGATTGATTTTGGCCTGCAGCGCGTTGATGATTTTTGTATGGGTGAATTATTGATGTGTTTGCAGCAATTGCCTGTGAAATAAGTTCCTTGAAGGTGACTGAACGAGAGCTCGACAAGGAGCATTCCGTTACAGACTTGTCGGCATTGTACACTTTTTACTGTAGGCCTATAGTCTTGAAAACTCCCACGAGGTTGATCGTTGGTGGACCGCGTGCATTCTACTTGCTACCCGTCTACAGGCGCTCTAGCCCCCGTGGGGTATCGCGGTCGATGCGGTACCCAAGGAACTTGCGGGAATGTGCAACCACCACAGAGTACGTGTACCTGAAAGGAAACTTTAACAGCTGTGAGTTACTCAACATAAACTTCCATATCTGGAAATCAATAATTTTTCCCCAAAGTTGTATAGGCCTGGAATATTATCAGCCACCAGAAAGAGATACCGTGTCCGAAGAGCATGGAATTGAAATATTGGAATGTTTACTCAGGAAACACTTAGAATTTTTCAGACCAACCTCATACTAGGGTTTGTGCACAGGATGTCAAGTGATGTCTTTGTATGGAACTCTTTTCCAGAGAACGATAGTGCCACTTGAGGATTGTAGTTAGTACTGTAGTGTTTACATTAACTAGTATGTCGCCGTTACTTTTTTTGAATTAAATTATAGGTTCAACATATGTCCTACAGTATGTTAGAAATACATGTAGATGTAGTTTTGTGAAAATTAGTTGGTCTATCATGTCTGTAAGACATGTACGAAACTGCACCCCAAGTGAATCGAAATAAGTACATGTGCTAACTTCACCGGTCACTAGATTGCTCTGTTTCCTGATTTTACTCTTTAAAGGTGATTTCAAATGTTGTTTTCTGCTGCATGTGGAATTGAACCCGTAACTTCCCTGCCTCTCTCATACATGTCTGTGTGAAACATACTGCAAAGTATTAGAGTCGAAACACCATCACAAAGAAGTTTCTCATTCCTTTGTGCTATTTAAGGGTGGGATATTTACACGTTGAAACGTTTAAAAAAAAAAAATCCCATATCCATTTACAGATTTTCACAAACGTTTTAAACAGAACCTCCCTATTAGAGGTTTGACGTTGTGATTGATGCAATCCCACGTTCATTTTTATTGTAAACAATGCCAGTTACTGTACATAAGCCTGCTGGTTTTTTCCCCTTTTCGGCATCCATTTACTTTATCATGTTTATGTGCAAAAAATTGAATTCTAAAGCAGTGTTTCCATTGGACTTTTTCTTCCGTGGCCACGCAGAAACTTACTGCAACATACCTTCGTGTCATTCTACCAATGCTGCACATTCCCACTTGGACTTTTTATCGTAACGGAATGTTTATTCGCTGTGTAAGACTAGGTGAATTCATTACCAGTGCTGTACAAATCATGACAAAATTGGCAAAATCTGATCAAAAAATGACAAAATCAGACAAATTCGGCCAAATCTGCCACCTTTTAAGTGGCAATCGTACAACATGTACATGTATATGTACCCTTACACAATGTGTGTATAGCGTTATCCATGTTATCTGGGTGCGCTTGACTGTGTGTGCGTTTTATACTAGTGTACTGTATGCAAGGAGACTGGGAATCATACAACCATTTTTTGCGTGCCTGCTGTCGATCTCTGTGTAACGGTAGTCTTGTTCATAGGTTTAGCGTGGTCACGGTCAGTCTACATTGTACAGGGATTGTCCCCATTGGACTTTTTAGCGCCCCTGCTAACTTACCGTGGCTGCGTGGAAATCTTCCGCAACCCTTTTTGACTTGTTAGTTCTACATCACGATTGCAGTAAGTTGACAGGGACGTTAGTTCACCATGTGTTCCCATTGGATTTAATTTTTCAATGCTTCAGGAAAGTTGCGGTAAGTTAACCAAAAAGGTCCAACAGGAACACAGCTTAAAACAATAAATATTACTTGTTATGAATGCCCAAACATACATGTACATGTAAATCTACATTTTTACATAGCTTGGACCACATGTACCGGTATTGTTGAAAGTTAATTATGCATATGAAAACACCCAAGGTAGGGGGCGGCCCCTGTAAAGTATTTGCTAAACGTTTAAACGATATGGGTAAGTTTTTGTGAAAGTTTTTCAAATTAAATATAAATTCCCACCCTTAACCCTAACACTCCTCAATCCTGCACCTGTTTGAGGACTGAGGACTGTTAGGGTTAATACTATTTAGTGTCACAAGCATCAACACACACAGCGTCAGCAACCACTAACTAAAGGTTCAAAAGTGTGTCATATTATCATAATAAAGAGACTCTAACATCTGCCATCGTGTAAGAAACTTGTAATTTTGTTGGACAGCAAGCATCCTACAATGTATCCAAATTCATCTTTTGTAGTTTCAGAATTCCCACAGAGTAACATCAGATTCAACCTCAGTCCATTCATCTAGAATCCGCTACAATGCTTTTGAGGTGACCGTAATCTGCAGCCCACTGCTCCAGGATGTGTCCAGCAAAGTCCCGCGACCCCAGGTCATATATCCAAGCTGTCCCCTTACCCCTGCCATCCCACCAGGGGGAGTATATTCTAGCCCGCTCAGATGTTCACTACAAGTCAAACTGTGCCTCACCGTCCAAGGAAGAAATCTTTAAAGCCAGTTATGCGAGACGGTGAGTACAGTGCAGAGTACGCAGGCAGGGACCGCTCAGCGTAAATTGCAGTCAACTCTCGAATTGCATTATGAAAGGATTGGGGGAAAAGGGAACTGAAATGAAAAAAAGACTTGGGACTCCAGACTTGTCTCTTTCAAAGCGTTTTCTTTATCAACTTCAACCGTGACTTCATTTTCCATTCACTCTCATTTGACAGGCTTCAGCAGATGAAAGAGCAAGGTTATCGGTCTGTGAACCACAAGCCCTACCAGGTGCTAGGGGAACCCCTACACCTTAAAGAAAAGAAGCTCATCCTTCACGCTCTAGGGCAGGACTTGGTAAGTATTCAGCTTCATGTTCATCTATTGTACATGTGCAGGTTAGGGTCCAACTGCACTATTTCTCCATCCTGCAAGTTCAGTATTTCATGACAATTTCAATTTAGGCGGTAGCAACCTTTCATGCGGGGATGTGCAGCGCATCGGTTTGGACCATGCAACACCCCCCTTTCTTTCTAAACATATGTAGCTCCTTGTTATCTTTCCAGCCCTAGTTCATAAATTAATTTGCAGTTTTGTGATTGAGTTTTCAGAGTGATCTGGGACTAAGACTGTCAAGTTAACATGGTTAAGGAGATACATGTACCTGAGTGCTTTCTTCTCTGATTAACCGTAACTGTCCCAAGTCTTATAAAACTAACCCTGATTTGTAGAAGTTTGCTGGCAGGCAGAGCACATGCATGATATGGTGTGACTTTACATTAGGCCTTGATAACCTGCTAAGTTTAAAACAAAGAGGAAAGTGTGCCATTGGCCTGAAATACACAAGAATAGTTTTTGGAAGTCATCAGAGATGTTCTTAACCAGTGGATTAGGGGCAAAGCTACATTGTATATAGAGTCAAAATACTTGAGGAGTTTGGGTCAAAATGCTGTGCAAAATGTGTGTCATCTGATGATAACTTGTGCTTGGATTAAGTTTGCATCTGAGGTTTACATGTAAGTACATGTACATACATATACTGTTATTTACTGAAGTTGAGGCATTATGGATGTACATGTAAAAAAAACATTCAGAGAATCTTATTTTTCTAGAGCATTTTAACCATGTTAGTTAAAATTGATGCAAAATTAAAAGTAAATAGGAAATATTTAGAAGTGAAATAAAACATGTCTGCATGCATACATGTACAAATGCCTCTGAAATATCACAGTATTTCATTATATGTTTTTATTTCAATTTGGATTGATACATTATATGTTTTGTCATTTACATGTATAATCATGCAAGTTGAATGAGAATCTTCTATCCCATACACACTGTACATTGTAGATGTATGCACACTACCAAAGGGAATTCATTCCAGAAAATGCAGGCAATATTGACTTTTTGTCTAGTTAATTGCAAATCTACACAGTGGCAGCCATTTGTTTTGGTTGACATCTGTTGTAGTCTTGACACGTATTCAGTCAAAAACCCAACCCCCCCCCATTATGGCGTGTACCGGTGCCGGACAGAAACTGCAATTGAAGTAAATTAATTGCACGTTGGCTTCGTGCTGTGCAGTGCGTGTGCGCCGTTCAGTTTTGTGAGAACGCCGTCACCCTGGTGACATAACAATGCCCGTTTAATTATTAAACTGATTTGTTGATAATTCTCTCGAGAATTCAAGAGTCCTTGTCTCTGTAGTGCCATTGAACAATTGCGGGGGTTTATCGTTGCCCTTGTTGCCATTGTAGCTGCACTTTGACTTCACGGCATGGACATTAATTTTAATCTGTCAAATATTTCACAGCTTTGACATGAAATAAAAATTGTACTTTACAAAACACAGATTAAAAATTGTTTCTTTTATTTTAGCAAAACAAAAATACGACCATCTGGGTATTAGGAAGCACACGTTGGTCTTAAAGTTGTACTTGTTTTTGGAATTTTATTCTCAAAGAGAACGTGTATTTCTTCAATTAACCACCCATGTACAAAAACCAAACCGCACCCAAACTACCATACATGTATAGGCAAGATCAATTCAAAATGTTTCTAACTCTTAAATAACTGATCCATAATATACATGTACATTACTTTGGGACAGAGCGCAAAATTCTTCACTTATAGACATACAGTACAGTAATAACAAAGTAATAGTTTTAGACTCAGGAAATGCTAGGACGTTGATTTTACCCATCGTTGGATTGTTAACCTGTGACTTCCCACAGAGATTTAAGATGTGCATTAATCCATTGCACAAATCTGGGAGATTGCAGTAAGCTGCATGCATGTGTCAATATGCCAGAGGCAAATTTGCAGGTTGTTGAGATGCAGCCCTGAAATACAGTCCTGAGACTATGCATTGTATCTTGTCCTCCAAATCTGTACTGTTGGAGCAAATGCACACAGAAACTGTAAGCCCTAGGGTCTCTGTAATAAGCATCTTCTTTGCACAGTGATTGAAAAACACTGTGTCCATGTTTGCACTGCCCTGGTTGTTTAATACGTATCTATGGCATCGGCAAACAGTACCAGTTCCTTGGAGGGTGTGCTGAATTTACACATCATCCTGGGAGACAGAGGAGGAATTGTGCAAAAGAGTAATTTCACTTGACTTGGGAAATTACATCAAATCACAAAACAAGGAAGAATGAAGAGACTGAAAAGATAGCCATATACATGTACATCAGCCATGTGATTTTAGACAATTAAGAAAATTATAAATAAATGAAGTTTTGATATTTCACACTTTGCCTCTCCTGATGTTTTGCTATATTTCCATCTTCATTTTTTTTCTCTTTCCCTGTTAATCTGTTATTGCTTGTGCTGTGTACATGTACACGTATGTAAATGAATTGCATATTAGCACTAATTTGATCAATGTTCTGCTGTCCTGAAGATAATGATTAAAATTTTGCAAAATGTCCTAAAATGTTAGTATAAAGGCTTCACTTACCATTTTCCATTGAATGGATACAAGAAGGGGGAAAGCTTTTGCAATCTTTGTGAAATCTCACCCTTCAACATGTTTAAGATCTCCAGTAATTTTCCAGTTTCATCAGGACTTTCCTGTCCATGTGGCCACTACATTTATCTTACATCTTGATATTGAAGTCCAGGATAAGAAGCTTCTGTCAACCCCCCCCCCCTGTTCATCAATGACATTGACAGATGGAAGGAACCTGGGCAAGAAAGTTCATATGGGGGAGTGCTGGTACATGTACAGTATTCTGGACGTTGTGGGTTCAAATTCCATGCAATTTCTTTGTTCATGTTATAATGACTATAACTGGTGTTAAACATGCTAACTTGTCAGGTTTCCCTGTATATGGATTGTTTAAGAAATTTTAGTGAAGACCAAAGAATTTTTTGGGAAGGGTTGGAACACGGTACATTATCAGACGTTGGAGGATAAATTCACAGGATTCCTCCTACAGTAAACATTTCCAGAGAGTCACCGATAAATGGCACAGGTATGGTTGCTTGCCAGAATCGTGCATGCACGTACTGCCTCTTGACATTTTATAGCTTGCCGTTCTTCTTGCCCACACATAGGCCCAGTCAGAAGACTCATCTGGGAGTGGCTCAGATGAGGAAGGGGAGGAGGAGAAAGACAAGAAGGATGGAGTTTTGATCCCGCAGCCCAGCGAGAACAAACCGCCGCCGAGGAAGTTTGTGTTCCGCCGCAACCACAAGAATAAGAAGTCTTTAAACAAAGAAATATCCTCAGCGAGGTACGGTATGTGGGGAACTACGTCTGGTGACATTTTTGGAGGTTGTTGGGCCATAAGCACCTAAAAACTTAGCCATTTTTCAGTTTGTGTTAACTGGAATAGTTACAATGTTAATGCAAGTTTCTGCAGGCAGTGAATGATAGCCAAAATCTGTAGTTTTTCTTATGCAGCTTAGGTAGAAAAATACCATGCATTGTAGTTGGCGCGTACGTTTGAGCAAAAATCAAACCAGAAATACTGCTCAGCATGGTGCTGTCTTGAGCTTGTGGGGTTTTGTACAGCTGAAAAATTAAATGTCTTCAATTTTGTTAGAATGCCACTACAACTTTGTATAGTTGCTGTAGATAAAGAAAAAGTTTTCTGATAATGAAGTATGTGCATATACATGTACAGGCAGAAGATCCAAAATGGCAGTTTTAAAAATCACAAAATGGACCCATTTTTCTTTGCCACCACGAGAATAAACTATATGTAATCTCTCTGTTATACATTGCTAAAAAGTTGTGTTTTTTTCTCATTTAGAGTAAATAAGTTGCTTCTTTTCGTTTTACAGAAAAATGGTGAATTGGGTGAAGCTTGGACATGGGGTGTTCACAGCTATCAGGAAAGAGGATGAAGAAAGGGTAAACATGGAGTCAGCAGGTGTCAAACCTAGTTACCATTGAAAAAAGGTCACAGCTGTCTAGGAACGGTTGCAGTCACTATTGGAATCAAGTCCCATCCCATCTCCTTTCACATGTGTCTTCACAAGGCCAGTCATAAGTCCCTTCACAAGGCCAGTCATAAGTCCCTTCACAAGGCCAGTCATAAGTCCCTTCACAAGGCCAGTCATAAGCCCCTTCACAAGGCCAGTCATAAGTCCCTTCACAAGGCCAGTCATAAGCCCCTTCACAAGGCCAGTCATAAGTCCCTTCACAAGGCCAGTCATAAGTCCCTTCACAAGACCAGTCATAAGTCCCTTCACAAGGCCAGTCATAAGTAACAGGGTGAATACTAGAGAACGCTTTTGTCAGAATTCATTTGGGTAGCTTGAGATCTGGCTTAAGACAAAATGACTGTGATGGACTTGTGATGGACTTGAATACAAGACTGGCTGCAGTAATGTACAACCATTTTGGTAATCCAGTGACATGTACATGTCATTCATAAGTTTAGTCACAGGTGTAGCAGGGGATGAGGAATAACAATAACTGATTGAAAAAAAAGAATGTGCATCTCAAGGTTCATTTTGACAGCTAGTGACTTGAGAAAGCATGGATGACTCTTGGCTGATTCATGATTTTTTGATTATATTAGTTATCACAAAAGCGTAAGTGGAACACAGAATATTGTAGTGCATTTGTGTCCCGTATATACATGTACCACAAGGCCGAAAGCCGAGTGGCATTTCAGCCTTGCGGTATACGGGACACAGGTGCACTACAGTATTATGTGTTCTACGAGCATGAGTGTAATAACAAATTTTCCTCAAACAAACTTGACGTGCAATGAAGATGTTATGAGGGTGTATTTGCACAAACGGGCCACCTTTGAATTTAGAGTAAATTTGCAGTTGTGCGGTTTACTTTTAGCATCAAAAAGGCACATTGTGTTGAGTTACAATTGCACATTACGCACTGTTTGACTTGGACTGTGCAATACGGTTATATGTCACACAACCAGCGAGAATTGAGAATTCAAGTTTACCTTAAGATAAAGGCTCTTAGCAGACTTGACCTTTGAAACTGGATGCTTGGTGATTGACCAACAACAGTGTCTGCATGTCTGCAACACCATTAAAGTGATTACCATTTCCAATTTTCAGAAAAACACATTCTTGTCCAGTGATGTCATGCATATAATTTTATCCTTTCTGTCATTTAGCTGAATGCAGAAGAGAACAAAAGGTTGCAGGATGCAGAGAGGAGACAGCGAGAGTGGCAACCTCCCAATTTGGATAGCTCGGATGAGGACACAGACGATGATCTCGCAAGGGATGAAGATCTCAGGTACAGAGATGCCACACAAATAGTTAAGAAATCTTCGCTCTACCTCAAAGTCCGAACTTACCCGCATCTCTCAGTCTGCAAGATGTTACAGCAGGCATCATTCGTTCTCTGTTGCATTCCCTGTCTATGACTGGAAGAAGGAGGAGCTTCTTCCCTGGGAACATTCAAACTAGCCCTGAACACTTCTCCTGAAGTTCTATTTAGCACCCTTCCATTTTAGTGTAGCAAAAACAACACTTTCTAAGGCTGCAGCTGACACTTTCTTGAATCATACACATGTAGACTGGGATGCCTTATGTAAACAAGTCTTTTTTTTAAATTTCCTATCCACCAGCATCTTCCTGACTCCATCCAACAGTGAGGGTAAGAAGGAAGTCTCCTTCTCCCGCCCCGAGACCCATCTCTACACCCCTGCCACACAGACACCCCTCCCCTCGGAGCAAGAGGGAAGAGAGGCTGAGCCGGCCTCATCAGAGCCCCCTTCCTCCTCCTTGTTGAGCGTGGTGATGGGCGAGCCGGGTGGGGCTGCCTCCACCCCAGCCAAGTCCATCCTGAGCACCGCCTCTTCTCCCGTGGTCCGACGGAGACGGAAGAAGAAGAACGCAGAACCACCTCGCCCCTACACCCCGATTCGGTCTAATATCAACGTGGACAGCGAAGAGGAAGACAGGACCAGCAGGTACCTCAAACTCCAAAACTCCCTGTCCCTTCCAAATCTACCGCAGGGCTTGTGAAAATTTCTGAAGGATTGAGGCTTAGACAGGATTGGCACAACTGTAATGAATGTACATGTACCATTTGTTTAGAGGCTTTTAGGCAAAACGCCCTGTAGCTTAGGGTTGAAAGCAAATGTTGACAGTTTCCTTATGTGCTTCTTATAATGATTATGTGTGATTTTCTTTAAATATGGTCTACGTTATTAAAAACTTTCCTTCTACAACCTAGTTGTAGGCATTTTTCAGTTTACAGTATTATTGTTGAATTCCTTTCCCCTTTTGCAGACATGCAATTTTTCGACAGCTTTGCGTATTGAATTGGATTCTGGAGGCAATGATGACAGAGCCTCCCGCAGCCATGGAACCGATCACCAAATGCTGGAACATCAAGTACAAGTAAGATTCCTCCTCATTTTTCCATCACATGGAAAGTGGTGCTAGCTGGCCTTTGTCACATCTGCTTTGCTATGAACTGGGTAAATTGATCTTCAAAACTGTCTTCTAATTCTGTGCCTTTTCCGTCATTTAGAGATCTACGGCAGAACACATTTTGCAAGACGACTGTGAGAGACAAAAGGAGAGAGAAGCTGGTGGACACACGATGGAATTCGTTTGTCACCAACCCAGGAGCCGGCCATCTGGTAAGCAGTGAGATGACTGGATAAGATTTAAATTGATTCCCGCGTTCTCTTTTTAATTGTCCACAAATATTGGCACAGACACCCCCATGTTACTTGATATACAGGATGAATGCTGCTGATATTCAGGGTGTCGAGTGAGATGCCATACAAACCTGTATGTGCCATGTAGCTAGGCATTACATGTACTTTCAAAGTTACCATGCTAGCAGCTTTACCTTAACTTCAGATTGAGCTGAAAAAAAAGAAGGCAGCTTTTTGATAGATAATAAGAAAAGCAAATTTGACTTCGGCAGAGCAGGTGTACATAAAATCTTTGTTTGAGATTGGCGCACATTCATTGTGTCCACTGCCAATGAGTACTAAGAGTGCACTGAGAACATTATATTATGTGCGTTCATAAGCTTTGAAAATCGAAATTCTTGAGAAACTTAACCAGTCACTGTTGAAGTATTGTCTAGCTTATTGGTGTGGTTGCTACATGTGCACTGCAAACTATCTTCAGCCTTTCAATATAAAGCATGGAAAAAATGACAGTATGATTAATACAAGGGGTGTTTTTTCATTGCTATGGCAAAGACGGACAGCCTACCAAGTCTTTTCTCTCAAGGCGGCCAGGTACAGTAACGGCCAAGAAAAACTTGACTGCTGAAGTGTGCAATCTTTATTGTGTATTTTCTAACTTTTTCAAAACGTCATTGAGCTTTTACTAACACTGTGTGCGGAATACAGAAAAGAAAATGAGCAATCAGAAGATGCGGTATGCCCTTCGTACTGCAATGTGTGTGTCTGTAGATTTTTGCACAGTGAGTTTTATCTGCCTTGCACAACACTGTCCTGATTGTGTGGTAAGATTGAATCAAATTATATGTTTTGTTTTGTTTTGTTTTGTTTTGTTTTGTTTCTTTGACTGAATTCAATTAAATAATACAATCCAGGTAAGTTATTTTGATATACTAGACGTAGTCTTAGTTGCCAAGGAATCCCATGCACATTTATTTCTTACCTCAAATTGCAGAAATCCCGCACCAGCACCAAGACGGCCATCCATGGCCTCAACCTGACCGCCTCCATGTCCTTACCCCGCCCGGGCCGGAGGGTGTCAGTCCAAGCGGGGTCAGGCATGACTTCCCTAGGCCAGACTAGGGCCAGCTCCACCCTCAGTCAGTCGGTCAACCAGAGTAGTGCCGAGAGCACACCCCGCAGAGAGGAGGATGGGGCAGGAAAGAGAGAGAGCCTCAGAGAGCTTGGCAAAGGTGAGTTGGACGATAGAGATAGAGTCCTAGTTGGGACCCCCTCAACCACTCCACGCTGGATACACACAGATTGCCTGTGTTGTAATAATTGGAGGCCGTTTGGACACAGTCTGGCAAACATATGGAAAACCCTACAAAACCATCACAGTTAAGACCATCACAAGACCCTACAAAACCATCACAGTTAAGACCATCACAAGACCCCAAAACCATCACAGTTAAGACCATCAGAAGACCCTACAAAACCATTGCAGTTAAGACCATCAGAAGACCCTAAAAACCATCACAGTTAAGACCATCACAAGACCCTACAAAACCATCACAGTTAAGACCATCACAAGACCCTACAAAAACCATCACAGTTAGGACCATCACAAGACCCTACAAAACCATCACAGTTAAGACCATCACAAGACCCTAAAACCATCACAGTTAGCACTATCGCAAGACCTTACAAAAACCATCACAGTTAAGACCATCACCAGACCCTACAAAACCATTGCAGTTAAGACCATCAGAAAACCCTAAAAACCATTGCAGTTAAGACCATCACAAGACTTGGTCCCTGGTGGTTAGGGTTGAACTCATAAGGGACTTTACTGAATGCAGTGCGTGTTCTAATTTGCTGCGCAAAGTTCTGTCTCTCAACTTGATCACAAACAACTCAGTCACAGTGATTATCTCTCTGTGTTCACAGCTTCAAGCACCTTCAAGATACTGGATGACATCATTGAGAGTGCCTCATTGGTTGGCACGGTTGGCAAGAATGAAGATAATGATGACACAGCCTCAAGGCGGGGAGCCAGGCAAGACAGGTATGGCAAACGGTCCAGGGCGTTGCACGGTTGTAGTTTTCTGTTGCTTTTGTGCACTGTAAAAATTTATAATGCAATTTACTGCCAAGAACTTGGCTCAAGGAGTTCAACTGTACTTTTGTAGTGAAGTTTCGTTCTTCACAACTCACATGTAGCATTGCCCAAACAAAGTTGATTTGAAACTAAGACCACAGAGAAAAGTCTGAGATATAAGTTTGTGCCCCCTAAATACGTGAAACTGCTTTTTTTCTTGTCATCTGATACAACGTGAAGTTCTGCAGGATGTGCAGTGCATATGACAGCCTTTATGCAAATTTACGACTCACAGTATGAACATGTAATTGGTTTCCAACTTTGCTGTTGAGTTATTGCACATTTCGCTTTGATGTGAAATATCGATGACAGTGAATGTCTCGAGTCACCACATTGCACTCCCGTAGTTTGCTCCAGTATGCCAAGTGTGAATGAATAGACCTTCCGTAATCACACTGCATTCTTGATACATGTTTCAGGTCGCCTTCCATTGCTAGTGAGCGCAGTGCTAGTGCTACTTCTTCTGGTCAAAGGACTGTCACCAAGGGACCAGCACTGTTGGTAAGTATCCTTAGGGACCAGCTTTTTTTTGGATTTTTGCTCTAAATTCGTAAAAGGCGAGTGGTTCTATTAATAACAAAGCAGAATTTTTCCAATGCACCTTTCAAGCTCTTTTTACATTCGTGAATAACCCAGGCTAAATTTCATTGATCTATTGGAAACTAGTTGACAAAAATCCAAAGAATTCTCATGAATCAGGAGTTGATTTTTATAAAGCAAAAACTATTTCAGCAAACATTTTTACCAAGCAGAGAATGTTTTGCTTCATTCCGAAGAGGAAGTTACCAGCTGGTGCATGAAAAGGACTTCACGTGCCTACATGGTTCTTAACTGGACAGAAGTTTAATTGTGGCATGAATTAGATCACTGTTCTGTGCTTACAGCTCTAGTGCAGTCATTTTGTGTTCACCCTTTAAGCATGGTGTCCATGGTGGGATGCATGTACAGGCTTACAAGCCAAACTTCCTTGCCAACCTATGAAATGTGCATAAGGGAATACATAACGGTGCATGTGTTTATAAGACTGACTCTGGAGAATGGATGCTGCCAATGCCCAAGCTGTTTTAGTCAGAGTCAAAAGCAGTCAACATGCAATAAATTTCCAAGGATTTTGTTCAAGAATTTTGCTTTAATTCTTCCGAACACCCCCGTCCATTTTGTGGTATATTCCTTGTGCAAGTAGTCCAGAAGAATCTCCATATATGGACTTGGTGTGCGCACATGGTGAGTTCTGCATGCTGCTGAGCACACAGACTCTTGACCAATAGGGATGGAGTAAACTGTCTCATATCCAGGTGGCGGTGTGGTTTTATGCAGTGGGCATTTATCACATTGCAGTGGGCATTCTCAAATGTGGGTTGTTGAATAGGGATAAGGTATTATGAATAACCATTTGAGTAGAATCGATGCCACAAGTTTAGGATTGTTTACTTGTGAGAAACAGCAACTTTCAAATGGTACCTGGTTTATATCTATAGTGTCATTACATGTACAAGCAATATTTTAACTTAGCAACTCCACTGAATTGGTCCAAGTCATGGTTTGAAGTCAGTGTATGATCGTATTTCTATTGCAGCAAAAGCATCTTGAAGAGAGGGACCAGAAAGCCACCAGACCCCAGGAGAAACAGATACACACATGGGTGGCCACAACCAATCGCAAACTACGCACAATGAGGTATAGTTATTACAGAGCAGCACAATCTTAGAAATTTGGGAAAAATTGTAATGACTTTTCTGATAGGCTTCAATTCCAAACTTTACACTGTGTTTGGGAATTTTGAAATGTTGGTAGAGACTTGGTAATTGTTCTATTTAGGACTGTGTATATTAAATATTTGAGGGAAAGGACAGTGAGTTCAACATCTAAAGTAAATTACTGAATGTGTTAGGTTGAGACAGTCTAAAGAGAAACTATATCACTCTCTGTTTTCATTGATACTTTTGACTGAATGAAAACATTGCTGCAGTAAGCCACAAAGTTACACAACCTTTTTTTTCCGTCAATTGCTTATTCAAGTGTTCTTTTTAAAGGAAATCTTTCCTGGTTGCTTATGCAGTCTTTGTTTTTCGTCTGCAGTGCACCTCCCAAGAATGAATTCAAACCCATCTTCCCTAGTCACAAACATGCCCATCTACCAGCAGAGCTCCGGAGTCGCTTCGCCGATGTTACTGAAGACAAGGCCCTCATGCTTCACGATAAGTTGGAAGTCCTGGAAAAGTAAGATCTCAGGGAAGTTTTCTTGTCTATTTAATACTGCACATGCGATGCATATTCAATGATCTGGTTATGAAATTTCAAATTTCTGGACTTTTCTTTTAAAAAAGGTCACTGGTTCAGGGGAGTAAATGAGATGGAGTGCATATGATCAATTCCAACTAAATGTGTGCACATTTCACCTGAATGTGCACAGATTTTCAGCTTATAATGAGTACACACTTTCAGCTTGAAAGAAATTTCCCTGAGCCACGCCCTCATGGCTCAGGGAACAGTGGTCAGCATTTTTGCCCTTCCTGGCTTAGACTCATATCTGAATTCATTTCTCTGCTCTGCCGTATCGGCAGGACAGTAACAATTCCTGACTTTGACACTGTTTGCAGGAAGAAGCTGTGGCGCAGCGAGGAGAAGTTCCGAGCCATCCGAACCAACCTCCACATCAGCGCCCAGCTGGAGAGGATGAAGGAAGCTGCAAGAGACAACGAGGAGTCTGCTGAGGAGAAGATGAGAAAGAAAAAGGTGGAAGAGGAAAGCAAATGGTGAGGAACAGTGGAGTCATGGGGAGATTTGCATACATGTGATTCAACTTACCAAAACAAAACTCAGTGGATCGTATCATCTCCGCTAAAATGAGCATTGGCTTATAAATTGCTCTAAAGGATTTGGACACTTTCTGTAATTCACAAGCTGTTGGGAATTCAGGTTGAAATTTGGGTCAGGAAATGTAAAGGTTCAATGTGAACTGTGCCAAAAGGTGGTCAAAACTGTCAACGTGATGAACGCCGTTATGTTATAAAGAGTAGGATTTGAGGGGCTCCATCTATTGAATTCATTATTTTTACTATATTTTCTTTTTGTAACAATTTCAGTTGTAGTATGGTAAATGAGGTGGTCCCATCAACAGTTACAATAGAGTTGACTGCATATACTTATGATTTGTAGCTACGAGCAGAGATGTTGTCAGGAGGGTCTGCTCTCCCCAATGATCAGTGTGCAAAATTGGCAGAATTTCAGCTAAACTGTGTGACTCTTGCCAAAGAGCACACAGTGAAAATCCACCCCCTAATGACCATCACCGTCAGGACTCTGAATGGGAGTACCAGTTTTGTTCATATTGTCCTGGGCGATTGTGATAGGCCATTTTATAACGCTGTTCATTTTGTTGGCATCATCAGGTTCCAGGAGCTGACCTCACGTCTCCCCGGCTACGTCTTCAGCGATATGGCATGCGCGGCGCTCCTGGACAAGCTGCAGTCCATGGGCATCATTGAGAGCCGCAAGATCACGCCGCAGAAGTTTCTCAATGTCCTGACGGGCCTCAAGCCTTGGGAACTGTGCCTACCAGACGTCAGTGCTGCCATCGAGGTGAGTGCGGTCTTTTTCTCCCCACAGTAAAAACTGCAACCAGAGTTGGAATCAAATCCCTTTCCCAAGTCCAGCAAGCATACTGAATTGCTGCTTGGCTTAGTGGCCTGGGAAACCTGACTTGGATACAAAAAAGTGAATCTGTGTCAGGCGTGATAATATCCATCAGTACCGTAATTTTGGGAATATAAGCCACGGCTTATACATTGATTCTCACTCTGAAAAATGTCCCTGTGGCTTATAATGCGGGCAGCTTACTAATGGCAACCTTTGAAGGATAAATCAGTCATTTTATTCATTCGCATTGTGTATTTTTTGCACGCAAATACTCAGTTCACTAAAAAAGTTTTTATTGTTGTTACGTAAAGGTTTCTTTCTACTAGTAAATAAATCTCAACGGCTTATACCTTTGTGAAGCAGATCTTTCGTCTTATGGTCATATCATCGCCAGTAGTGTTCAGCGTGACATGCCTCAGAATTTCGGGTTTGTTTTCGCTTCGGTTTTCTGATGACCCAACTTTCTGTGGTCACGTGGTTATCAGAAAGAGTCAGTGTTTGGACTGCCCATGAATGGGTCTTCAGTAGCAGTCAGGCTAGCCTGAAAGCAGAATTTATCGTACACGGCGGGGTGGTGTATGCCGTGCATGTGCCCTGCAGCATGCATGCAACACAAGTGGTGCCAATGTGATGGCTCACACCAAGGTCTCAAGACAGTCCTTTTGTACCTATTATATTTGAAGTGATTTGATGGTGTTTTTTGATCGGTGTCATAACTTCGAGATCAATCGATTTAGTGTTGTGGACAGTTCGAGTTGTGGATGTATTTTTGCACATTACAGCCTATTCTTTTCATGAGAAAAGTCGGCATACGAGATAAAACAATCTTTTGACTTAAACGACTTCAAGTTATCAAGACTTTTATCAGCATAACTTTGTTGGCTGCTTCGAAAAAAGGGCAAGAGCTGCCTATGCAGGACAATCATTGAGTGTCCTTAAAAATTATTAATTATTAATTTTCGAGGACGTGAATTTATTTTTAATGGTGGCACTCATTCGCACTCTTCTTATACAAGTTAAATTTATTAGAATAAGCCATTTGCGAGTTAAATTTGAATAAAATCTGGTGCACTGAGTTATCTGACTGCACATAAACATAACAATTTGAATTCCCCAGACTAAAGACACTGTTGCTATACCTCATGATCCAGGGCAAGCTTTCGCATAGCGACCACCATCTCTGGAACGGACTGGTTCCTTTGTGCCCTTCTTATCCATTGAGAACAGTGTATTGTTGCAAGGCATCTCTTATGTTACTAAGGAAAAGCTTGCCCCGAATCACGAGGTATAGCAACAGTGGGTTTAGTATGGAGAATTCAGGTTATGTTCACGTGAATTTAAAGAACTCACTGTACCAGATTTGGGTCAAAGTTAACTGGCAAAAGGCTTATTGCACATGTACTGGAACCATTGACGTGCCTTACTGGTGGTTCAGCATGCAGCACGATGACCTTCGTGGTCGGATCGTCAGTGCTGCGGTGTGGCTTATACACCAACTTTAAACATTAATTTGCCGATTTTTGTGTGCTGCGGCTTATACACCACGCAGCTTATATTCCAAAAATTACGGTATTTTTGTTCAGTATGGAATGCAATCTTGGTACTTGGGTTTGATTCCTCCATGTGTTTCAATATACAATGTACATGTACTTGGCAGTTACAAAAGGATTCAGCTGCAACAGTGTGCATAACTACTGTTGATGGTCTTTGCCATTTCTGTAGTGTGCAACAAATTTGTACACATTTGGTCAAAAGTTGTCAAGCCATTGACCGACCTTAGAAACAAGGATGGGTGGAAAACTTCATGAACACAAGGCTTATTGATTTATGTGTGTTATTTCAAAGCAAGATCAAACAGTTTCTGATCTGTTTCCAGTTTCCAATTCCAAGTACGTTGTCTTTTCTCCCCCTTTCTTGGTTCAGTTTGTCCGTGAGCGTGTTGTCTTGATGTCAGTGGAGGACTTCGAGGCCTGGTATCAGCATGAGATCCCAGGTATCAGCCGGTCACAGAGTGCTCCCCCTAACACCTTCCCAACCTAGCAGCGGAGTCACTGCAGTCCAGCAGGGTATCCGAACCCCAGGGAGTTTTCCTCAAGTTTGAAACTTTTCATTTTCCAGCACACAGCTAATGTGTTGACATCTTTACCTCATCTTCGCATTTTTATTCATGGATGCACTAGGGCTTACGGGACTCAATGCCTGCTTATTTTGCTGAAATGGGACAACCAGCATTGATAACTATTAAAGAATGACGTACCATTCTTGTGTCATGTACACGTATATAACATGTTGTAAAGACCAGCGCAGGTGGTACGCACGCTACTCTCTGCCGACAGAGCCAGTGTCTATTTCAAAGGTGACAAGCAGCGTGCACATCAAAGATTCGGGGACCTGTTTTTCACGGGCAACGTGAGCTTTCTAAGAAAAGTTTTTTCTCAACAAAAAATTCCTTTGCTATACAGTGTGCCACCAAGAGGTTGCCACAGACGCGGAGAGGCCATTTTTCAAGTTTACTGTTGACAAAAGCATGATACCATGATTTGCATATGAGGAAATGTCAGTTGAAACCTTGGGGAAATTTTGAGGGGTTCGAAAGTTCTGCACTTTAGAACCCATCTTCTTTCCTGGCAAATATTGGGAATTAAGTTCCTTGCGCACACCTGGCGAATAGAATTTGTCAACTATTTCCACAATGCACTGCAAAAAATGGCGTGTCTGCAGCAACCTTCTGGTGACACACTGTACTGTAGATTGCCCGTATTCAAAATATTGATCAAAATTCTGTTATGGCTGTGACACGGTCTGTGCCCCCTTGCAGTTAAAGAATAAAAAGACTGGGTTTTACTGCCTGGTTCCTGCCTCCATCATTTGTTGCATTTGCCAAAGGCCTGAAACCAATCTACCCTCCCTGAAACTCGCACACTGGACAAGATACAGCATGCCTCAACCTTGAAATTATAAAGGTGTCACCTTTAAGTGTCTCCTTAAATCATTTACACACAGAAGCAGTAGGGATGTGGTTACAGAGTTATATTATTACAAGTATTATTATTATTATAACAGCATTGGTTTTGCAGCTTTTGTATAAAGAAGTATTTTGAAGTAAATTCTGAATGTCGTTAAGAAGAGGTCCTTTGGACTTCGCAAATGACCTTGTTATAACAGGAACTTTGTGTTGTCAGGAATGAAAGCAATGAAGAACAAAGGATTGGGATCCAAAAATTTCCTTGTTTTAAGCAGAATCTTGTATTAGCAGTGATCTTATTAACCTGTAGTTGTAATCATGTGATCAATTTTGTCCAGTGTGAATGTTCTCTTCAACTGGATTTCATGGAAGTTGACACCAGGTTATTGTTTGTTCAGTACTGCAGCACATGTCGTTTCAAAGTACATGTACATTGTACTTCTTTTATGCGGGTCATTGAAAATTCGTTACAAATTCTGAACAAAGTCAAGTGTTTGTGCATGTTTAGATCAGGGAAAAATAACATTGAACAATTTGTTTGAAATGTTGACTATGAACAAAAGCTGTTTAATTTTACACTGATATTTTAGTTGTGACATATATGTATGCAATTTATTGTAAGCACTCGGAACAAAAATTTTCAAACGTCTTTGTTGTTCTTAGCATGTTACTGGTATTATATTAAATAAAATGATCAAACATGTTGCTTGTAATTGGAGGTTTTCTGTCAAGACTAAAACTATATTCTTACCATGGTTTTTAGTTTGGAACCAGCCCAACTTAACTCTAACAGCCCCCTTGCGGTGATCAACTTGAGAATGGAGGACTACCAGGACCAAGGGTCAACATGAAGGAAAAATGCACAGCAATATGCTTAAGATCACACTACCAAAACTGCCACTGCCAAGCCCAGTAATTTTAGGGTGTACATGTAGATTCCTGATTAGGACTATATCCAAAATGGCCGCAAATCACTGACTTGTACTACCAAAACTGGGCACCAACCGTTATCACGCCAGCCAGTGCTAGATTTTGGTGCATCTGAGATGAATTGAGGACACACTTGGTGCAAACACAAATGGAAGTAGTCTTGGGGCAACTTGGCAAACTATTGTATTTCTTAAGTAGAATAAAACCTTGGCTGGATTTATTATGAATGGCTCCCGAATCCAGATATCCAATTCCCTTTGATTTCACATTCAAAAAGACATGAACTGGCTTGTACGCTTAACTCTAACACTCCTCAGTCCTCCAACAGGTGAAGGATTGAGGAGTGTTAGGGTTAATGTCAACCGCGACCTCCATAAAAGGATTGGGAAAGACAAACCTTATGCACTGCTTAAAATAGGTCATGGACTAACAGACACACTGCAAACAAAACCACAAATGAGTCCACACTGACTGTTAACTGTTCACTTCTTGCATTTATTATCAAGACATGAGGAAATGCTTTGAGTCTTCAAAGTGTCTACTTCTGTACAAATGTCCGACGTAAAACTGTGTTTGCTTGGATGCCGGTTGCTAGTGTGGTGGTGGTGATTGGGCTGGTGTTTATTTGCCTGGTAGCAGGATGCCGTCATACTGGAGAAAAAAAATCGAACAAAAATAGACCTAATGTCAATAATCTTGCCCACAATTTGTTGAAATGCCAACCCTCCCCCTCAAGATTACCTACAATTGTTGATGAGGGCCAATAGAACTCTCCTTTGACAAACTGTATTCAGATTTTGTCATAAATTGTTCAATGCATGAATGAGAAATGAAACATGGGACACTGGGAATTACACGACATCTCTGCAAAAGATTCAACTTCACTCTTATCAGAGCTTTCAACTTCTTCAAATTTGGGGGAAAAAATGAAGAAAAATTAGCTTTCAAAGTATTCACACATGATTGATATAAAAAAATTTTTGATATACAACGTAATGTGAAACGTCGCGCCAAATGAGTCACATGTACATGTAGGCATTTCGGGTGGGATTTTTACACGTTTAAATGAAGAAAGTTTCAAATCCATTTACAGATTTTCCCCAACGTTTAAATGGAGCCACCCCTTGTTAGAGGTTTGAGGTTTTGATAGACGCAATCTGGTATCCATTTTTATCGTAAACGATGCCTGTAAAATGTAATCTGATTTTCAGAACATTTTACTGCTCCGTCGTATCGGAAATTTGTGTCAACTATTTACATTGTACATAATTTGTTGTGTTCAAAGATTTCAATGACACCATGGTAAGTGTGGGACGTTTTACGAGGGAAAAAACGATTTTCAAATTAAACGTAAATTCCCACTCTTAGTAGGCAGAGCCACTTTCAAGTCACTTTGTTGTACACTGGAAGGCCATGTCCAAATTAGTTAAGTATGACTGAAAATAACACAGGTACCTATGGAGTCTGGTAACTTGTGCAATAATGCATTTCCAATTGAAGCAGCCAAACATGCCGAACTTTAAGATTTATCAACCACACTCAGCCTAAATACTTATTCACAAGGGAACCAATCTCCCTTTCAAATCTTGCTCTCTCAAATTTTTAAGCTGTGAACTATTAAATGTGATGGTACCAGACTATTTTATGACTAGCATGCATTCTTCTAACCCTCGCTTTCAATATTTTTGAAAGTTTAGCTTATGACACTAAGGTATGTTTCATCACAAATCTGAAATTATTCCTCAGCGTAAACAGATACAGATGTGTCATAAAATCACATTCTACTGCTTTAATTCTAGTCTCAAATCCAACAAGTGAAGTTAACCCCACTTTCGAAATCATTATAGCCCATTCACGACTTAAGTTTATCCATGGTCTAATTCTCACCTTCTGCTGGAACCACTTCATGGCCTCCTCCTTGGAGACGCGATGCTTGGCCCCGATGCGACCCTGCTTGCGCCGCTTGTGTCGGACGTTGAAGCCTGGCCGGCCCAGCACCACGTAGAAGTCCATGCCATAGATGCCGATGCTGGGGTCGTACTTGATGCCCAGGTCGATGTGCTCCTGGATGCCAAAGCCAAAGTTGCCCGTCTTGGAAAAGTTGCCCTTCCTCAGCTCGTACTCACGCACCTGTGGATGAGTGGAAAAAAAGAGAGCAAAATCAGACAGACCCCTGTGTTTTATGTACAGACACCAGAAAGGTAGTTGAGTCCACCACAAATCCTCACGAGTCCCTGCGGGCATATCACACGTCCTGTCAGAAGTCACATATTCTTTAACTCTAACCCTTAGGCCCTTTTGGCTTGGACACATCGTCAGTCCTTCAAAATCATCTCACTGCGTCTATGCAAAAAATTGTATAATGCCTCAATCCTTCCAAATCCTCCGATATTTCTTGAAACTGTTCCACGGATGGGGTGGCCACTGCCTCACTCCTCCAAAATCCTCCCAAACCGTCCCAGGATTTTGGAGGATTGAGGATGGTTGGGATTAAGCCAATCCTTGGTTTAGCTGTAACAGAATGCACCAGTGGGGAAAAGCTGTCGTAAACTGTTGCATTAAGCAGTAACATTACCTTGAGCCCCTTCTCCAGGATTTCTTCAGCCTTGGAGCCCCGGACAGTGCAGTGCACAGCAATCTTCTCGTTCCTGCGGATTCCGAAGGATCGCACGGTGTAGCGGGCTAAAATTATCAGGTCAGCAATCGTGAGAAAAAGATGCCATCAGACAAGAGAACAACAACACCAACACGCATGACATGAAGCCCACTCACGCATGTAACCACTAACGCTAAACACTACGTACATGTACTTGGTGCTCCGGAGGGTTTTGGGGGGGAGGGGTGGGGGATGAGGGAGAGGTGGGGCAAGAAAGGGGGATTCTATGACACTCTCCGAAGGAACTGTTTGAAACGATGTCTGTGGATAAGAAGCTTCTCGTTCTGTACAATTTCAAAGTCAGCATTAAACAACTGATTTTCGTTACTACGTGCCGATGGTTTACTCTTTGTACTGAAAACAGTGAATGGCAAAGATGTACATCTACTTAACAGAAGAATGCAAAATAGCAGTGTTCTCTTCCATTAGTAACACTGGTAAAATGACGTGATAGCAGTGGGTTGCCAGAAGAGAGTTACTCTAGCACATTACAATGAAAGCAGGACCAATGATAACAGGTTCTTACCACGGCCTGAACCAATGTGCAATAAACACAGCTGGCCTTTTCACTTCTCTTTTTGAAAAGGCCAAGGTTAACCGTGCAAGAGTCTTCAAAATACACTTGAGCTGAATCTTCCTAAATCTTGCAGGAATGAGGAAGATGTAGCTCTGCTAACTACTGCTAGACACTGGATTTGGTGCCACTTACAAATATATAGAGTAAGCCATTGGCATGTGGAAAACTGACTTTATTCGTGAGTTTGCAACAGTTACTTGAAAGCACTGATGAAAACTCTTTATTCTATGAACTTAATTGTAGAAACAGAAGCAATGAAATGAAACTTCATAAGAAGTTAATATCAACTTCCACCTTTGTCAAATCATTTAAAATTAACAGTTCAACATAATCTTTGTGCCACATCGCAAAGAAATTAAAAGGGAGGATTAGAATACACTCTGATCATAAAAAGCCTGGCACCATTTTATTAAACAATTTTCAATTTAAGAAGTAGATTCAAGGAAAACAGAAAATGTCTTCCTTGTGAAGGGTTTATTTGAAGGAGATTTTGGGGAAGTCTCAATGGCAAAAAATGGCCCAGAATTTTTAGTGACCAGGACTAAAGCTGTCACCTTTTGAGAAGACCGGTGTCTGTCCCGTCAGCTGCTCCAGCACCTTGGCAGCTCGGGTGAGCCTGTCACCGCTCTCTCCCACACAGATGTTGAGGCACAGCTTGCGGATGCGCAGCTCCCGCATCACGTTCTGCTTCTCTTTACCTTCCTCACCTTGATTCTGCAAAACGATGGGAGACAGACAATCCACACTCATGACAACTCTTGCAAAAAAGAGTGAAGCAGCACTAGATCTGACATGTCTGAGTTCTACCTTGTACAGTCCACTTGTTATAACTCAGTTAGACGGACCAGACAAATTACTTTGTTATAACCGGGACTTTGTTATAAGAGGAATGCAAAAACAAAAATAAATTTGAGGCTTTAAGAAATTAGTATCTCGAAATCTGTTCTTCATAAGGGTATTTAGTTATAGCAGTATTCTTTATAATGAGAGTCTACTGAAATACAAACTCATGACAAAGTAGGCACGGAACCAGATAACTGTCGTGGTAAAATGCATAAGCCATGGACATAACAGGCGCATAGGTCTGTCCCAAACATACCCCCAAAACTACATTTGATTACAATGTGGGCATGGAGAAAAACACAAAACAAATCAGTAGGCCTATCAGGTCACAGTAAAAACCCACTGCCATGACTACCTTTTTGAAAATATGAATGATCATCAGTCAGGATGCACATCGCAACTCAGAGACTGTTTCATGGTGCCAAATGCGTTGCACGTGCAGGCCTCTGCTCGCTGCATGTGCAACGCATTTGGTATCATAAAACACTCATTGGTAGGGAACACAAAGGTCACGATCAACAAGTCTCGTGTCCAGACCACGTAAAGCAAGCTCATGTATACGTCATTGGGGGACCATGTTCATTTACAGAGTTATTGGCCAGAAAAACTACATGCCCGTGTTTGAATGCGAGGAGGCAGCAAAAAGTTCAAGTGCCGTGCGTGTGTCAAGCAAAACGGTCAGATTTTGACAGATTTTGCAGTCAGAAATATTATTAAAGCCCCAACCGTTTGACGTTGGCATTTAAGGAAGCCAGGAGGTAGTGATAGAGGTATTTTTGGCGAGTCTTTGGAATTGTTGGGGACTTTTTTCATCTTACTCTTTGTAATGTCATAAAGCGTTAGTATGACAATTCCGTCAGAAATCGTATAAGAGGAATACCAACGCTCCACTTAGTGGAGCTACCCTGACCCTATTTTTTGGAAATTTCAAACTGTAAATTGTGAGAAAAAACTTTTATACAAATAAGCCAGCCATGCAAATTTGACTCCATGTGTCATTTGTTAACACACGTCCAGTTTCCTCTCATAATTTCCCTCAAAACTCAAAACCCTGCCTTCTTTTAAGTTTTAACATCAGCCATGTCAGCCATACAGTCACAGGATTGTAGGTCAACTCGCCCACCTGGCCGACTGCCCCTTACCAACTTGCCCCCTGACCGACTCGCCCCCTGACCGACTCGCCTCTTGCAAACTCGCCCCCTAACCCACTCGCAACCTGGCCAACTCGCCCCCCGTAAGTTTGACAAGCACATATGTACGGCCCATTCACCATTTAATAAACAAAACACAATCAGTCGGAAATGGAATCGGTGATTGCTGCCCGTAAAAATAGGTTCTGGGGTTTGTAGCGGGCACTCAAAGTTAAGAATTATGAAAGTTAAACTGTTTAAAGCTTGGTGGATGTTTACTTTCTGTGGAATTTGGGGTAAAAATATTTTTTTTGAATATTGGTAAAACCAATTCAGTATTATCGTGTGTGTGGGACATCTGCCCAGCTGTGGCCCTTCTGCGGACCTCAGTCACATACCCAAATATTAATGGGACGGAGGGTTCGAAGTTGTTGATCCTGAGGGTATGTTTGATAATAACCTAATCAGACAGTGGACGTGGGAAGCGGTAAGACATTTGAATAAATAAGTGATTAGTGGTGATGTCCAAATATCGATCACCGTCTGTGAGTCGTTCTTGTCGCGTCGTTGGTTAGACCCATTCTGGTTTTTTTTTACACATACTTGCTTGAACGAGTTGGTAAGGGGTGAGTCGGTCAGGGGGCGAGTTGGAAGGGGGCAAGTTGGAAAGGGGCGAGTCGGTCAGGGGGCGAGTTGACCTGAGTGACACCAGTCACAGTTATGATGGTTATCTGGGAATAGGCCTGTTGAGCATGTCACATTCTTCCACCTAGGGGAATCCAAAGTTAAAATGTCGGTCTCCCTTATGTTATAGGAACAGGGTCCCCAAAGTCACAATCCCCCACAAACCATATATATGTGTGGCATCAATCTTATTGATGCATTGTTGACATGGTTGATGCATTATCAAATTCCCAGTCTAGTTCCCGGCCTAGTGCAGTAACTGCACAAATCGGTAATTGATTTTATCAAAAAAACAATGAGGGTGAAACAAATCTATGCAGATATCAAAACATGTTGTAAGTAAATACGTGTTTCATTTATTTTTTCCACTGGGGTCTTATTTAAATCAGAAAAATCCAGGATTACGACGGATATTTTTGCCACCAACACCGATCACCAACACTCACCGCCATGTTGGCTACAGCAAAAGGACGTAGTGCATTGTGGGAAAATTTCACCCCGGTTTTCATGATTTAGGCACTAAAACTAAGTTCAGAGTATTTTATTTAAAAAAAGTATATGGATATCGACATGTCATGGGGAGAATACTTTCTAATCTTACTAAATATGCTTCTACAAGAAGTTTTTTAAAAGTTAAAGTATTTCTGGCATTTGACCTAATTCCTTTTGCACAATTTATATAGACTCACTGATAGAGGCTGTCATGTAAACATACACAATTTTTTACGTTAGCAACCGCAGCTGCAGGGAATGAGCACTTTTCGTAATTCAGCTCAAACGAAAAACGCGTAAACACGGTAAAAATGAACGGACATGACGAAGAAGAGGACAGTGGTCCTTCTGTGGATTCCACAGATCCAGAGGAGCGTATTGCTGCCCGAAGGATTCGCATTTCAAAGCGAGTAGAGATGGCAAGAAGGTGAGAATTCTGAATCTCGGCTAGGCCGGGCCCTCAGCTGATCAGCATTGAGATATACAGTACATGTACTGTAAAATCTTGATAAGTCGAAGCCTGTTTAGTCGAAACTCTGTTTACCTCGATGTTTTGTATTTCTGAAGAATGATGAATAAAAAGTGATGAAAGAACGCTTGCCTTCATTATGAGTCATTACTGTCACGTGCACGGTTTTTCTTTGATGAGCCGAGCATGTTCACACGGGCTGCCATTGTCACGTCGACAAGCACTGGGTGGGCATCACCGCAACTGTAAAATAAATCAGGCACGAATGATGCGCCCTCAAGCGCTTTGTACATGTATCACGTAACCCAGCACGGAAACCCTGACCGACTGGCCCACGCGCTGCGTTATGCGGTAACAGCCTGATCAAGCAAAGCAAATGAATGAATTCTCAAGACGTAGACACAGGTGCTGGTACATAACTTCATTGGTTTGTTGTTTATTAATGTACCACATAAAAACATGTTTAATGATGATGTTTGAGGAAAACTTGCACAGTAGGGATAGCCTAAAATCCACTGCGTGTTCGACTCAGCTTGTAGGCCAACTGCCGTAAGCCAGTAAGGTTGCATGTGCACTGGAGCATGTAACTTTAGATAACTTGAACGTTGGATAACTCAAACTTTTTGTCCATTCCCCTTAGCTTTGACTTATTGAGATTTTACTGTATATGCAACCATGCGTATGAAGCCAAACCACGGTGGTTGTCTTTGTATTGCGCATGCCCAATGTGTATTAGATTCGCGTTACAGCCGTTCATCGGTATATCAACAGTAAAAACACCTTCAACCTGTGTGAATTGCGGTAGTCAAGCGGTTATAGCATAATGGTTTGTGATGCATGGGGTGTGGGTTCGAATCCGGGTCGAAATTGTGGGCAGGGAGATTTTTTTTAAAGGAAAATAAAGCCCGAATGTCATAGGAGCCAAATTTCACACTTGAAGTTTGTGTGGTTGGTTGAGCATCTAGATGTCATGCATTGTGCATGGTTGTGAACCGTGGTTTGGCTTCATACGTGTGATTGCATATATATAGCTCCAGCATTGGGCCTAGTTAGCGTTCTGATTTTGGATAGAGGGCACTATTTAAATATGTAATATAGAGTATATATTTGGTGTATTTTGCTTTGTTTTACAACATTCCAACTTCCTGATTCTAGCTTTCAATTTATGTAGCAAAAATACCTATAATATATAGCAGTTGGGGGACAGTTTCCTTGCAATTTTGCATTGACTGCCAGGGAGGCTAGCGTCAACGAAAACGGGTCCAGTCGTCCCTGGGTAAAGTCATCCTTGAGTCAAGTCGTCCCCCAAAATTGAAACGCAAGTCAAATCATCCCCGGGTCAAGTTGTCCCCCACTAGTTCTTACAAGTGTTGTCTGTACATGTAATTTTCTTTTTAGGTGCATCAACCATATGTAGAAAAGCATGAAAAACAAGACAGAGACTTGTACTGGTACAAGTACATTGTACTCACAATTTTCATTCGTTCTACGCAGTTGGCTGGCACCTTTTGGAATCTACGGTGACCCAGATGTGCCACATATATTTATTAAAAGGTTGATTCCTGGTGTGTGCCAATGTAACAGCACATGTACACGTACAATGTAGGCCTATTCTTTGAATTGTCAAAGCAATAGAGTACCGAAGTGTGACATCACTGTGAACCAGAAAGTGCAGTGCAAACAAATGGAGTATACATGCGTGTTGGTTCACGCGCTGGTTCTCGCGCTAATGCCTTTTACTTACTAATTGTGCACGTGACGTATTAACTTCGGTACTCTATTTGAACATCTTTAAATTTCACATCTTCCAGCATGTGTGTCAAGTAGTCATTTCCAGTACTGAAATCAGTAATGTGGAAATGAATTTTAGTTAGCTTGATTTACTAGGAAAATCAGTAAACATTTTGACTGGGTTGTTTTAAGAGTGTATAGTGAAGGAAATCTTGTAGAGTTGTATTAAAGTTGTATTTTGTAACAAAGCTCTTGTAAAATGAAGTCACTTGTAATAGTTGCTTATCGATCAATTTTGGTATAATTGGGGTTCCACATCACTCCAAGTCAGCCACAGCCTTTATCTGAGCGGCAAGGCTCAATGCGCACGGCTACCCTTTTGACGTTTCGCCGACAAAGGCGGTGCTTCACGGCAGCTTTAGATGTGGCGTACGGGCCTACAACTGTGCTGGGGACGTTGGGACGCAATATACTTGTCAAGCAAATTTCTCCAGGGCTCATTTTCACCCTCAATTCGTCTGTAATTTGATTGGTAGGCTGTAATCCACTCAGAATCCTGTCAAATTCTATGAAATGGTGCTAAACGTGGAGATCAAGCCAAGCCTTGGAAGATGCAAGCTATCAAGTCAAGTCAAGATTTCAGCGATCTGCATCCGAAAGCGATGGCTTCTTGTGTGGTACCTCTGGCATTTGTTATGATGTCAAGACGGACCAAGAAAGACTGAATCATCAAACCAACTGGCTCTTTTCAGATCCTGCACACTTTGAAAAGAGAAAATTCAGTCCTATCTAATAAATTATTATTAAATCAAATAAAAATGAATAACTTAAATAAAATAAACAGAATAAAAAAGTCCCAATAAAAGAAGGAAAAAAGAAATTACCCCAGTAAAGACTTGAAAAGTAAAAAAGATAATAAATTAATGATCTGCCCCCCCCAAAAATAAATTACCACAGTAAAATCTTGAGGAGTAATAAAGAAAGTAAATAATCCCCCAAAATAAATCGCTGCAGTAAAGTTATAATAGTAATTTAATTATACGTGGGACGACTTGACTAGGGGAACGAGTTGACTCTGGAACAAGTTGACCCGGGGACAACATGACTCAGGGATGACTTGACCAACATTATATTCGTGTCAACAAGCATCAACACACTATGTGAAGTATATGGCAATAATCCAGCAAAAAATCCTTTTCACGGAAATGTTCCCCCATAACAAATTTGTTGTCCACAATTTGAACATGAAAACGTGCAACCTGAACCATGTCTTCCTGGATTTACATCAAAGCAAAAGCGCCCTCTCTTGTCCAGAAATGCTTGGTCAATTTTTCATGTTTGAAAAAGTGCACCGTTCAGTTCACATAACCTAAAAAAGATGTCAAACAGTCTTCATACACGGAAGAAGAGTACAGAGGTACACAGAAAGTGATTCTAAGAAGAATTCAATTCCTGGATCCTTCAACAAAGTGTTTAACAAAACACCATCAGAGGCGAAGGTAGGCTAAACATAAGAGGTGTAAATCTAATAACGTCTGTGTGTGTGCACTAGCTTTACTATCAAATCGCCCACACCTTTTCTCCAAATTTAATAAAAGAGAGAAAGGACTGGGGTGCAGATTTACTGTCTCCCGTACTGGCAGACTAGCAACTGATCATCGTGTGCAGGTGATGAGACACCTGTGCGTCATGGGCTGTGAACCCTGCCACCATGGTGTATCGCCATTGTGGCCGATGTGCTGTCTACCAGTCTTATGCATGCTGCATCACCTGGTCCCTATGCATGCCATGCTCGATAAGTCAAGTCACAACATAACACAACACATGCAAATTTGCCCAAACAGTGATCAGCAATCTGTGTTAAATAGCCCAAACTCTGTCATGTTGACACATGAACGGTCGAGTTGTCTCAACAGAGGACTTGAAATCTTCAAGTGAACAAAAAGTGATACAAGCCACAGTTCATTTGCTTTCCGTGCTCCATGTACTGTATGTACTCCTAGTTTTATAGATGTACATGTACATGTAGAGTCGAGCCTCATTAATAAGAGGTCCTTCAGACTCGGCAGATGACCTTGTTGTAACAGGAACCTTGTATAATCAGGAATGAAAACAATGAAGAACAAAGGATAGGGACCTAAAATTTGCTTATTTTAAGCAGAATCCTATAGTAACAATGCGCTTATTAAAGAAGTTACATCAATTGTCAGACGACCGTTTGGCTGCCTCAGTTAAGAGTCATCCATATTCAGTTACCAGTATTTGGGTAAGCATCCTGACTATTATACGCAATCCTTACAAAATAAACAGATTAATGAGAGTTGTTTTACACATACTTCCACTCAGGGAAGCCCTGGGAGAAGATCCCAGCTCTTTGAAGAAAGAAGATAAGGAAGAACAAAGCAAGAGCAAACGGCAGATAGAAGACAGCAGACAGGTGAATATTGACTGCAGTTTTAACTTTGCACCCAAGGGTGTTAAACATTTACTTTGAAGATGTTAATACCTGTAGCTTAATTGTAGCATGCTACCTATCTAGTGCGGAAAATGATTTTCCAGTGTCCATGTGAATGTCGTGGTCGCATCAGTTTTTGCAACAGTCACATGACCATTTGTAATAAACCATGCGACTGGTTCTCCATTCAACAGGTCTTTCAAATTAATCCTTGTGTATAGATTACAGCACAAGACCAAGAAATGCTGGTACATGGAATTTTTTCCCCTGTTTTTCTACAAGTATTTTCAAACATCATTGTATTTTGCTTACAAATGGCAGCGCCTGACTAAACTTGAATCAGATGGGTCAGAGCTTGTGACTAACGTGCGAGTTGCAGCCGATGCCAGGGAGGCCCACAGACGGACTGAGGAAGAAGAAATCCAGAGACAGAGGTGCATTTGATAGTTTCCTCTTTGAAACTTTTCTTTATCAGCAGATAGTTTGTAGAACACTCGCTGTTACTTTCATCACAAAGCCCTAATAGTTTTGGCACAACTCTTTATTGTTTACTTTATAAGAAATACCTTTACTGTACATGTTTTTCAAATCTTGGTCAAGCTTCAGTCTTCAGTGTCTTGAGTTTGGTAGTCCAAGCCTAGGTCTTGTGGCTCAGTACAGCTCCAGTGTCTGCTGTAAAAGTTTGCAAATTTCAGGCCAAAATTCCTCTCAGTTACCATGGTTACAGCAATAAACATGATGGATGTTTAAAATTGTTCACTGAGCTCAAGACCCAGTCCAAATCAGAGATGAATGCAACTTTGGGAAAAGGAACTCTAATAATGTGTGCACAGATTCAGAAGTTAGTTTTGTGGGAAGTATGACCCTTAACCTCTGCTTTGTGACTTATCAGGCAATGTCTACTGTGGTACCGTCAGATCGTCAGCTGACTGCTTCTGACCACTCCACAGCCTCAAGTTCATCTAAGATCCTTAGTACAAGCATCTAATCGGCTCGCATGTGGATTACATAACATTTGCTGTCACAAATGCACTAAACAGTTGTGTACATGTGCTTTAGACTCTCACCTTCAAGAATAGCATGTGTCTGGCTAAATTGGTCTCAGCATCCATCAGTGGCGTCTTTGAATGTAGTTGCAAAATTGCACGCCCACCATCAAACTGAGAATTTGAATTTTTTTATCCACTGGAAGGAATGAGAAGCTGGAAGCAGAAGCCAAAGCAGGCATGGAGCGCTTTGACGAGATCACCAAAAAGTGGGAGCAGGCTAACAGTAGGGACCTACCCATGGAACTACACGACCTGCTGAAACAACAGAAGTCACTGTCGGAGGCCATGATTGATGAGAAGAACAAACTCATCAATGACTTCCAGATGGTATGACTGAGTAGCCCCAAAGATGTCTCCCGCACATCATGCAGCGCAAAACTCTGAGCCAAATTTCATAGTGCTGTTTAACGAACAATTCTTGATCACAGAGTTCTCTGTATTTTATGGAAGCCATTAAGCAGCAAACATAGCAAAAGCACACTTAACCCCAGGGAAAATTTCCTCTCAGATGGGCAGTGTAACAGAAATCTCTACATACAGTGTACATGTATGTACACAACAATAACACATCCATGCCATATTACTTATATAAATCAACAGCATGATTTTTTGAAATGTAGTAAGTAACACTGTGAAGTCATGCTCTTGACTTTGGAAACTGTCGCTGGAAATCTCACAGCTTCATAATTAGGAAAATGTGTTTTGCACCAATGGGGACAGTTTTAAAACACTTCATATCGCTATTTTAATGTGAGAACAATGTTTTAAAAGCTGGGAGTACTCCGACCAGTGACAGCGTAATCAAAAGCTCATATTCTGTTTCATGATTTTTTTTTCTTTTGTAGGAGCTTAAGAGTAAAGATGACCAGTATGTGAAGGATTTGAAGAAGCAAGCCGAGGATATCGATCTGATGATTGACCGAATGGAAGAACAGGTGAAGAACCTGACCAAAGCCTACCGAGATGAACTCACCCAGATTGAGGTTAGTTTGTACTGTCCGCCCTTTTCTCACCGGTTGTCATGCTTAATTTTCCTCTTCTGCAGGGTGCCCTTCTGAATGTAGTCTGCAGCTCAGTCCATTGAATGTAGTCTGCAGCTCAGTCCATAAAACAAAATGGAGAGACACAGAAAATCATTGTGGCATCATTTCTGGCTCCTTTGTGGATACATGCCATTGTACACATTCAGCTGAAAGTTAGTCATAGTCATCAGTGCTTTGCATCATACATGTACATGTACGCCTGCCAAACCATGCACACTTGCCATGAATCCAACACACTAATGCAGTTTCACAAATCTTGACGTTCTGTCCATCTTCGGCTCTATGCTTTCTGGTGATGCATTAAAAACCTCAGAATTGAGACTCCTAATAATGCAACTGTGTTCTGCCCATGATCCCAAAGATTGTCCTATATGAAGTGGCCAGAATTTGGAATGTTTTCAGTTGGTTCCAGCTTTGGGAAATTTAAAGCGAGTTTATAGCTGTAGACAAAACTGAAGCTGGGATTATGTAAAAGGCCTTGAATTCCCCTTAGCGGTTGCACTGTGTGCACATACACAGTCTGTTGTAAACATATGGAGTTGTTTTTTCTATCACAGGCAAGTTTAAACATCAACTGTACTTAACCACAGTTTCAGTTTACGTGAATCAAATAATGCATTGTTGGACTGGTTAAGCAGACTCTTTGGAACTAGACCCCATTTCATGGCTCTATCGCTGGTTGTCAGTCATGTATTAGGTTTTGGTGGGAACAGAGAGAACCAGTGACTTGGAAATTATTTTTGTGAGAGGGCATGGGCCGTGAAAGCAGCAAGAGATGAAACCGACGGCAAAATGTGACAAGATTTTGCAAAAGTCATTTGACTAAAAAAATAAGATCGTTGAAATTAGAGTGTATTGCATATGTGCATTAGTAAGAAACGAGTGGCCAACATTTGAACCCTAGTTTGTACTTGAATTAAATGCCCATAGTTGGTCTCCATTCTGAAATCTCTCTGTCTTTTTTCATGTCTGGCCAGAAATCCTTTGAGACGGAGCGTGGCGAGCTGCTGGACAATAGCCGTCGCAAGTGGGAGCAGGCACTGACGGGGCGGGGCGAGCAAGAGCTGGAGTACATGAGACAGCGGGAGCGGCGGGTGGAGGAGTACGACAAGCAACTGCAGCACCTGCGCATCCAGGATGCCGACGAGTACAACATGGTGAAGATCAAGCTGGAGACAGACGTACAGGTGGGGTGCCATGCAGCTTGGGGTTAGCCTCTGTTGGCTCAAGACTGGATTGGGATGAAGAGTTTACAATGTACTTGCACTACACTGTGGCTGGTGTAGTTTATTCCGTCAAAAGTCTTTGCAAGTGCATCACAAGCCGCACTGTATTAAGCCAAGTCAGTTTTTCTTCAAATGAACTGTGACGAAATCATTTTTTTGTTGTTGTTCATCGTTTACCTGTGCCTGGCCTTGTGAAAGGACTTGTGACTGCATGGACTTATGATGGACTCATCTACAACACGGGCGGTGGTTACTATACAAGTAATGAATGTTTCACCTTCACATTGGAAAGAATAAATTTATTCGGTGACAGATGATATATTCCATTCCACTCACCTTTGCCTCATGCAGTTATGGAATCGAACATATCATCTGTCGGCGAATTAAATTAGTCTTACCATTACATGAATGTGAAACTTTCATTATTTATTTGACCATCTGATCTTACCTGCATAAAGCCTTTACTGTAACAGTCCTCACGTATTATTGTCAGCCAGTTTGCAAAACAGACTTATGTCTGTCTGGAGCACCACCCACTGGTAGTATCATGCATTGTGAAATAGACTGGTTGCTGTCCCTACATTATTTTTCTCTTTCTTACTCGTCGTTTAAAATGAAGTTCCATTCAACTGGTACCATTGAATAGAGCAAATAATTCAGTGACTTGTGGTCGATGATCCACCTATTACATGAAGAGATTTAAGAGAATAATCCCATGGTTAGGGTCGGCCTCCGTTAGGGTTGGCCTCTGTTAAGGTTAAGCTCTGTTAGGGTCCATCCTGTAAACACGTTTCTTGATACTGGCACACAAACAATGACTGAGTTACATGTCTGTATACATGACATGTATAATTCTCATGTGATTACCTGGATATTTATTGAGACAACTCTTGTTGTCCTCTCTCCACCACTGCTACAACAAACGGAAACAAGAGGAAACAATTTTTAAATCCAGCCGCCATTATTGCATGGATGCCGCCATTTTAAAATATAAGACACAAGAAAGTAGTATGATTCCCAGTAAGCTACCATTTTGTTAAAATGGTCCGTCCCATGCATGTAACAAAATAATTATTGGTTCCATTCACTGTCTGAGTAAATCTTCTTTGTGCATAGGTCATCCTTTACCTTCCTCATTCCAGAATAAAATTATCTTTTCCAAGTCTTTAAATACATGTACTTCAGCAGATATTCATGTTGCCTTGAAGATTTTGCTTTCATTGTTCGACCTAAAAGTTTTACCTAAAGTATCAGGAGTGTTTACACGTTCAAGTTTGGAGATTCCTTTACGGTCTATTAAAAAGGGAACAGTTTCACATTTATCAGTAGTTTTTAGGCCAAAATTACCTTTGAACCGTCTTACAATGCAGGGCCCACAAGACTTTTTGTATTGTGCCTTTTCACCCAATGTTTTTACCTCCCCAGTTTTGTTCCATTTTGTTTACAGGTTTTAGAGCAGCAACTTCAGCAGATGAAAGCGACATACCAGCTGAACCAGGAAAAACTGGAGTACAACTTCCAGGTCCTCAAGAAACGCGACGAGGAAAACACCATCACCAAATCCCAGCAGAAACGCAAGATCACAAGGTGTGTGCTGGAGCATTTTAGAGGAATTTGAAAAGCAATGTGATTTTTGTCGTCCAAAACCAGGAATGCGTTTGACTTTTGCGAAAAAAAGTGCTCATGATTGCCAGCAATGGGAAGATTCATCCAAGGGGGACCTGTGGTCACTAAAATTGTCACACATTACTAACAGATGTAAATGGGACAGGACCTAATATCTGTCACTTTGACAACAGTCAAGATCAGTAGTTCCGTCTGTGATCGTCTTTTTTGTCTCCTTGCCATGGCACACATGTTTCAGGGTGAAGTTAAATCACTTTTTATTTGTTTGGCTGGGTCAGACTCCAGGATGTTATGAACAATCTGAAAGTCAAGCTGTCCAAGCAGGAGAAGCAATATCGGGAGGAGAATCAGGGTCTAGCCGATGACTACAAACGCATCACGGAACAGTTCAAGGAACTCCAGAAAAAATCCAAGTAAGTCTATGTAAAACCAAAAGGCTACTTACCAATTTGTAACTGGACGGTTTACATGCTAAGTGCTGTAAATTCATGATCCAACTATACATGACAACTTTTGCCCTTGCCACCATTCTGTACTTCAATCACTGATCTTCTGAATTGAAATAAGTTTTCATTGCAAAGTTACTGGAACGTTTCTTGTTTGCTGTAAGGATTGAGTCTCTTGTAACTGAGCATTTTGTGTCTGCATGGTATCCTGTCTCCCATGGGTCCCGGCATCCTCTAATGTTATCTCAACTCTACTTGGATGTAAAGGCTCCCCAAATGAAATATAACAGTAGTCAGAGGAGATACCTCCACAGTCAACTACATGTATTTCCTGTTGCCAAATGGCATACAGAGAAACAACCTGCGAGCCGCCATGAGATTATTCAATTGGACTAGCTTACACTTTCTCAGAATTGGCAGTTAATTGGTACTACTGCTGAGAGCAGCCTAGTGCAATATTGTTCCTCCAATCTGTGCCATCATTTCAACTGGTATGGTATGGCCAGAGTTAACACACAACAAACACACCATTTGCTGTACTGCAAAGCTTTTGATTTGCACAGATGGTTCCTAGCAGGAATACCCAGCATTGAATTCAGTGCTGTACGTATTGTCCTTGCAGGCACTTCCAGGCAACTGACACCAGAAAGTTCCATGACATATGGTGCATGAACGAGGAGGAAGTCAAGGAACTAGCCAGCAGGTGTCTAGAGCAGGACCGCATCATAACCCAACAGCAGCTCGGCATGTCATGGAAGACACCCCAAGATACGTGAGTCATACATGGCACGCTTCAACTTCAGCAGTTGAAAAGCCAATCCTCTGTTCACTGTCATCATGTGGAAATACAGACACGTGTGTACATGGAGCTTATGTTCATGTCGTTCTTCCTTTGCAAGAAATATTGGTCTCAAAAAAAAAAAACGTAAGGGAGTGTAACCTACGCTTTATGAGTCATCTCCAAATTCGTGAGGGATAACTTGTGGACAAGTTGCAGACATTGTTGTGGGATAAGTTGCGGCATGCTTAACCATCCTACCAGCAATTGTCCTGCAATGAAGCAATTAGTTTGTTTACTTAAGCTCCAACTTTGGTTTGTATTTGGGGCCAAAATGGGCAGTCAAGGATGTCAGGTGTGTCTATGATACTAGAAATAAACTGTAATAGTCATATGGGGCCAACTGTTGTGTGTGCAGAGCCAAACATAAAGACCAATTCAAGGTTGACAAGTTGCTAATAAAAAACAATCCTCCCAGAACTTGTCCTGGACAAATGCAGGGCTTCTTATGAGTGATGTTAGTGTTGTCACCCACAACTTGTCTGCAACTTGTCCTGGACGATTTTTGAGATGGTCCCTTAGCCATGTTGCTGTTCGGATCATTTCTTAGTCTGACATGTTTGATATTGTTGGAGTCAAGTCAGAAATCTAGACAGCATGGTCTAACTGTTTAGGCTTTTGATTATGTGAATAGGGACCTGAATATGGCCATACCAACAGTTGATGAAAGTGTTGATGTTAAAAGGCACTTATACTTGTATAAGTCTGGTTTTTACAATTAGTAGTACATTTTTTACCTTTGTCTGGCATAAAGATATAAGGGGAAAAGGATGAAGTCTCCACAAAGTTTAATTTGACCTTGTTTAACTTTGTGGGCTCATGTTGCTATCTACTAGATGGTTCATGGACAACGTGGGACCCATCCGCAGCCAGAAGAGCCAACAAGAGGCCAAAGCCACCTCGGCACACGATGTCCTCAGAGAGGTCATGTCCACGGAGACCAGCGTCCAGGGGGATGAGGAGACAGTGGTGGATTCGCAGCCAGATGGTCCTCAGTCAGGCGAGGACGGCAGGGCCCCTGTTGAGGAGGAGGGAGAGAAGACAAAAATCTCAGTGAAGACAATCAAGAGGGTGCTGGAGCTGCTGTGTGATGAATCGGTAAGAGGACCTAACACTGAGGACCTGACACTGACCAAGGACCTAACACTGAGGACCTGACACTGACCAAGGACCTAACACTGAGGACCTGACACTGACCAAGGACCTAACACTGAGGACCTGACACTGACCAAGGACCTGACA